GGTACCGCGGTGGGAGGTCCGGGCTCTGCAGGTAGCACAGGCCCAGGCGCCACTGCTCACCGCGCATCCCGCAGCGGTCGCAGGGCGTCCACTCCCAGAAGGCAGTGAAGACGCGGAGGGCCCCGTGCTGCTTGTCCGCAGAGGGCTCCTGGCCCCTGTCCTGGAAGGCAGCCAGCAGCCCCTCGCTGCTCTGGACGTCCACATCGTAGGCATAGAAGTAGTCTCCCCGGCGGGTGCCACAGAAGTACAGGCCGGAGTCCTCGGGCTGCGCGCGGAACACCAGCAGGCTGAACATGCGGATGCCAAAGCGTGTCAGCACGTCGCTGCCCGCCCGCACCTGCGCTGCCTCCGTCAGCAGCCGCCCGTCGAAGTCCGTGAGCACCTGGGTGTGGCCACTGCCCAGGTGCTTCTGGTGGAACCAGACCACTGCGGGCACCTGCTCAGGCTTGCAGTGGCAGGGCAGCTCGAAGCTCATGTCGGCCAGGTAGGCGGCGTTGTCGAACATCAGGAAGGCGGGGCAGGGTGTCTTCTGGAAGATGTTCTCCTTCTCCATGACCTCGAAGCCCCTGAGCGCAGCCCAGACCCACAGGAATACGGTGGCACTGGCCAGCCCCATGGTATGGAGGGGCCCCAGGGAGGGGCAGCCCAGGCACTGGGGATTACGGGGCTTCTAGAAATCACTGTCTGGCAAGAAAAGCATCTTGTGGCCGGAAAAGAAGAAGCTGGCTTGGGCCAAGGATTTAGTTCAGTGCAGGCACAAGGACCGGAGTTCTATCCCTGGTGTTAAAAAAAAAAAAAAAGAAGAAGCCAGCTGCAGGGGAAACAGCCAAACCCCAGGTGCCTCTTCCCTAGGCGGGAGCACACACACACACACACACACACGTCCTCCCAGTGTTCCGGCCTGGTCATTCTAGAACTGCCCTGCTCACCTCTCAGAACACTGTCACTGGCCAAGAATGGCTGAGGGACACGGTGGCAAAGGGCTTGCAGCTCGGGCCCTGCCCTGCCTGCCCCGTGAAACACTTCCCTTTCCATCTCTGGGGAGCTGAAGGAAGAGGCCCTGTCCTAAACACTTGGCACCAGGAACACCGGCCAGACAGAAGCCCACGGCCTGGGGCTGTCCCAGGCTCATCCTGCCCATGGACTTGGTCCCTATAAGAAAACTCTGTACCTCAAATAAAGCAGCCTTTGACCACAGGCTTTGGGTTGTAAATATCCTTTAGAGCTAAGGGGATGAGCATTTATCTGCCACAGAAGCCATAAGAGTTTGCCACCCTCCCACCACCAAGGATAGAACTCAGGACCTTGTGCTTGCGAGGCAGGCATGGTGCCACTGAGCTACATCCCCAGCCCTGCCACCTTCTTTTTCTGGGTGAGGCTGTACCTGGTGTCACCGGCACTGTTGGGGACACCCCCCCCCAGGGGCTTGGCAGACCTAGTAGAGGGAGGGAAGCAAGACTGCTTCCTGGGTCCTCGGTTGGCCTGTGGATCTACATAGCTCAAAATACAGAAGCTGAGCGTAGTGGCACACACCTCTAATCCCAAAAACTGTGAGAGGCTGAGGCAGGAAAACTGAAAGTTCCAGCCCAGTCTGGGTAACTTACTGAGACCCGGTCTGAAAATTAAGAACTAAGGGGCCGGAAATGTAGCTCAATGGCACTGCACCTGCCTTGCAAACACAAGGTCCTGAGTTTGAACCCCACTACCCTCCCCCAATTAAATAAAAATAAGGAGGGCTGGGGACACATCTCAGTGCAGAAGTACTGGGTTTGACCTCCAGTACCAGAAAAAAAAGGGGAAGGGTAGATGCTGAGGAACTGACAAGTGGCAAAGACTCAAATTCAACTTTTGTTTGAAAATTCCAAATTGGGGCAGGAAGTGGGCAAGGGCTCCTTGTTGCAGTCCTGCAGACGCCAAGCAACACTGAAGGTGCTGGGGGTGGTCAGCAGAGCTGGTACAGCCTCCAGAGCTCCTGCAGCAGCCCCTGCTCCTCCCTGCCAAGCACCTCTTGCCCAGCCCCGGGGGCGCCCATCGCCTGCAGCTTCTGGAACAGGGTTCGGCAGCCCTCACGTTCCGCAGGGCTCAGCAGGCTCAGGTTCAGGGGGAAACGCCCAGTGCCCGCCAGGCCCCGCAGGATCCCCAGCACCACCACCTGGTCAGCTGGCCTCACATGATTGGCCAGAGTCATCAGCAGCTCCCCAAGAAGTCCAAACCCCACGTCTGTCTGGAAGAGGCGGCCTAGCATGGGACCCCCAAGCTGCAGCAGGGCCTGGTAGCGCTCGGGTTCACTCCGAAAGCGTCGCCGCCAGTCGCGGTAGAACTCTGCTGAGGTCCCAGGCTGGAAGGGCTCCTCCTCCTGTGTCAGAGGGAGAGGGGCCCCGTTCTTCCTGCTGCCTGGGATGGTGAGGGCGGGTGCCCTGCACTGACTCTGCTCTCTGAGCCCTCAGGGGCTCCAGGGGGTGAAGGAAGAAGGGACAGGACAGGGCAAGAGGACCGGGGATCCAGGCTGTGGTTTGAGGTTCTCGTTCACACTGGGGTCTTCCTACTCATGGAGGGACATAGAGCTGACCATCTGGAGTAGTCCAGGTTTACTCTGTTAGGGTGAAGGCCTGAGGCAGAGCAAACCAAATCTGATCTGAGCATGAAAGTCTGAGCTCTGATGGTGGGACCTGCCGAGCCCTACTTCCTGACCCTTCTGCTGGCTTCCATCAGCCCTGCCGTGCGCTGGTTGCTTTTCCTTCTGGGGGTGGAGGCCGAATCCAGACTCTGTTGGCTTCTCATGAGAATAAAGATGAGGTGTGCGTGCCTCGGCAGAAGACGGAGCGGGAGCTGTGGGACAGAATCCGGCTGGGCCGGAGGGGTGGGCGGATGGGGCAACACCTACCTGGGAGATCTCAATGGCCACACCCTCCCCGGGGGTCTCTCCCCGAGTGGCATGACAGTTCCAGGGCACAGTCCTCCTTCCACCCTCCTTGTCCTTCCGCTCCAGTGGTTTTAGATGTGACGCGAGGACAATACTCCTGTGGGCAAGGGACAGAGAGCGGAAGACGAACTTAATGGAGGCAGCCAGACCTTTTGCCCAACGTATGTGGAACAGCATGGCCAGGCAGAAGCCTTCAGGCCCTACCCATGTGCCAGGCCTGTGCTCAAAGTCTTATGTGCAGTCGCATGTTTATGGGGAACAAGAGCTAACCTGACAAATGAAGAACCGAGGCACAGAGACTAAGGAGCATGCAGAAGATCACAGAGGAGCAGAGGGAGGGGCCAGGCAGAAGTCCACAGGGCTCGACTCCCGAGGGCCCACCAGACCGGCAGGGAGCCAACCTGAAGTCTTCGTAGGACGGCACCCTCTGTGCCACGGCCCGCAACTTGGCAGCATTCTCTCGCTTGTACTTTTCGTCAGCATCGAGTGCTGCCTGAAGCTCTTTCTCCAAAGCTTTGAAGTCAACGATGCTACTCTTTTCCATGGCTCACAGCCTGGCGGGCAAAGGGAGCGCACATCAGTGGGGGTTCGGTATCACAGGCAAGAAGGGCCTCTGGACTGCCTGCCAGAACACAGAATGACCCCAAAGCACTCAGACGCTTGTCTTGGAGTGCTACAGAATTTCATCTTCCTATTTTACAGATACAAACTGGATTACATAAGAGTACTGACACAAGGTGTGTCCTGGCTTTCAGGGTAAAGCCCTGCCTTAATTTTGTTCCATACCTCTGATAGGACTCACTGCTAGATCACTTGCTCAGTGCCCTAGGTATAACAACAACAACAACAATTTGGGTGCTTCAGCTAGGAGACATTGGGCCTTCAGAATTCAGTTTTTCTTCTTCCATATAGCAAGTTTTTTCCAAAGACGACCTCACACAAAACCAGAAGTTTTGTTAGATACTTGGGATACAATTTTGGCCTTTATTAAGTGTCTCTAGTTGAGAAAGGCACTTTTCACTCAAACCCGGGCAAAAACTGACTAGGAAATGGAGTAGGAGCAACAGAGGAAGGAGCTGGATGATCCCCAACCCCCAATCCCTCTGTCCAGCCCAGGGCCGGAGGCACAGGTGCCTAGGTAGCCCCATGGTCCCACCCCTGTGACCAATAGCCTTTGGGTACCTGAGGCTGACTGGCCCTTTCTACAGGAAATCTCTATGGTTCTAGTCTGGGCTTTACTTGTGAGATCTCTCTGAACCGCAGACTCCTCGTGAGTTGAGCTGGATTTTGTGGTTTAGTCATGCACAGCCCTAGGGCAGGAGGTCCGCAATGAATCCCACAGCCACCCCTACCCCAACTGAAGAAGTCAAATGCCACGAAAACAGCACGCTGGCCAGCATCTGGACTCGGGGGTCTGGGCTCCTGTCCAGTTCTGGGCCCTTCCCAGTCATTGAATAAACAGAGCAACACTTCCATCCCCCTCACTTAGCCCCCAGGCCCTCACCCCAGCAGCCCCAGCCTGGTTTTCTTTAGGGATCCTCTGATACGTTAAAACCGGAGGGTAGCTCCGCTGATTCCACTGCGAGCGGCGCTGGTTGCCTAGCAATCACTCCGCCGGCCCGCCCACGTGACCGTAGAAGGCCCCCTCCTCGGGAGGTCCCGAGGCGCCTGATCAGATGCACGCATCATTCGGTCCAACTTTCTCCGGAGCAACCCACGCCTTCGTTTGGGGACCCACATCACCCCCTTTCCGTTCCTGTCTCCTGAGCCAGTATTCTTCGGAGAGGGTCTTCAGGCACAGTGCTGGGCGACAGCGGGGTCCTTCCCGACGCGGGCGCAGCGCCGTCGCGGCGTGGGGCGGAAGCGCGGTCTCTGGCGGCTGACTCCAGCGCTCCGCGGAGCAGGCGGGAGGTGAGAGGTGAGGGTCGATGGCGCGTGGACGTCGTTCCGAGGACGTCGGGAAATTAAGAGAGTCGGACCTGGAGGAGGCGTTATCTCCACTTCATAGATGGACAAATTGGGACCTGGGGCGGGAAAGAGCATGGAAAGCCTCCCACCTCACCCCGCGCACGACTGTCCCGGGGTTTCCTCGATATCGCCCATTGTTAAAATCCCGTCCCCCGGTGGGGCTGTCCGGTCTCCTCTCTCATTCCCTCTTCCGTTTGTGCGTTCTCTCTGCCCAGGGTTCTCTGAGTTTGCCATACAGCGTAAAGGTGCAGGTTTGAGACCTGGAGCCACTCGTTTTGTTGGCAACTCTCTCGCGCGGTGTCGGAGTCATTAATTCACTCCGCATACTTACTGTGGGCCTATTTTTATGCCAGGTACTATTTTAAGGAAACACATCCTTAAATTTTGGTTGGGGAAATCAACAATAAACCGAGATGTCTATCGGGTCCTGATTAGTGTTGATAACAGTGCAAATGGGGGTTGCAGACTGTATGGGAGACTTCTTAAAGTGACGGAGAAGGTGGCATTTTAGTAAAGCCTTGGGTGAAATTAAAGTAAAGAGGCATAAATATCGGAGAGAATGGCAAGCGCAGTAGCCCTGAGTTCGTAAATGAGATTGGCTTGTTTCACCAACAGTCTTCTGCAAAAGTTTTGGTGATCACTTTATGGGAATCTTAAGGGAAGGAAAAGAGCAGAGATGTGGTGGCTGCTTGGGAATAGAATCTGTAGCCAGAAAAGTTTCCATAATATACATTTAATGTTTGGAAATAGAATCTGTAGCCAGAAAAGTTTCCATAATATACATTTAATGACAAGTCCTCTAATTTTCTACATTATCTACAGTCAGCCCTCAGCATATGGCATTGAGGGAGATAGAGGTATGAAATATGTCTTTCAAAGTTAAACCTTCCATCAGTAGACATTTACTCGGTTTCTACTTATTCCAGGTGCAGTCTTGAGCATTCGCAGGAGAGCATACAAAACACAGGGCCTAAAACAATGCTAGCTAACACTGATTGGAGCTGGAGGGGAATGTGTCACTTTCCTTGCATGGGATATTTTACTTAATCCTCATTTTTTTTTTTTAATGATGGCAATATTTATTTGAAAGTAAAGGCAAAGAATGAAGGAGAAACTAGCTCTGTAGTGTGAGCTTGGGCGAGTGAAATAGGAAACGCGAGATAAAAGTGCCCCTTGGAGGACAACACAAGGTGGGCTGTTGTGAGGAAAGCCTTGATAGCCAATCCTCATACTTTTTGTTTTCATTTTTGTGTTTTGAAACAGGGTCTCGCTATGTAGTTGAGACTGACCTGGAACTCACTATGTAGACCAGGCTAGTCCCTCGAACTCAAAGTGATCCTCCTGTCTCAGCCTCCCGAGTGCTGGGATTACAGGCGTGTGCCACCATGCCCGGCCCAATCCTCATACTTTATACAGTGTGGATTATTCGCTCCATTTTCCAGCTGAGGAAGCATGTGAGAGGGAAGTAAATTACCTGAAGCTAGATGTTGTTAGTGATGAAGACAAAATTTGAATCTAGATTGCCTAACTCCAGAGGTCTGATGCACAACTCATCTTCTGGTCATTGCTGTCAGACTGTGGAGTTGATGAGGATGCAGTTTATTTCTGTTCAGGAAAAAAGTGATTCTGGTAAAGGTGCAAAAGGTTACAGGAGCATAGAAAAATGAGTAGAGGATCTAGGAAAATTTGAAAGGGGTGGCATTTGAACTGTTCTGTGAGTAGGATTTAGGTGGTTGAAGTGGAGAAAATCCACAAAGTATTGGTTAATTACACAGGAAAATGAATAAGTTTACAATGAAAATGCAGACTCCACCGCAGTTGAGATCAAAATCAGCCTCACCAGCAGTGGAACAAATTGAAATCAACCTCCACTACCACAAAAAAGAAAAGAGGAAATTGAAGGAGTTGTTCTAGATGGAAAGAGTAGAGGCATAACAACTACTTGTAATGCAAATGTGTGATATTAATTTTCTGATCTTGACATTTTATCGTGATTATGTAGAAGATTGTTGATTGAAAATGAACTGATAGAGAGTACGTAAATAGAGACTGAGTAGGACAGAGAGGTAAAGTGTGAGACTTTTGGAGGATCAGTAAGAGTTACACCTGAAGAAGAGATGTGTAAAAGGATGTGGTTACCAGAAGACTAGAAGAGCGAGGGTGTCTTGGCAGGGTGACCCTGCCAGAAACTAACTCTTCTGTCTTTGAATTTTAGCATCATGGATACTGACTTGTATGATGAATTCGGGAATTATATTGGACCAGAGCTTGACTCTGATGATGATGATGATGAATTGGGCAGAGAGACTAAAGATCTTGATGAGGTAAGGTCATACATTGCTATTTTCATCTGTTTGAAAAGAAGAAATCGTCAGGCGTGGTGGGGCATGCCTTTAATCCCAGCACTCAGGAGGCTGAGGCAGGAGGATATGAGTTTGAGGCCAGCCTGGGCTACATAGTGAGACCATGTCTCAAAACCAAAGGAAAAAAGGAATAAAATACTTTGTTCTCTTAATACCATGTGTACATCTCTGATATTGCCTTTTCACTCATTGTGGTCTTACACTGCCACCAAAAAGCTTAGCTATTAAAATTCCAAAAAAGAAGGCCGGGGATTTAGCTTAGCGGTTCGGTGGCCTGCCTCGCAAGTGCAAGGACCGAAGTTCGATCCCCGGTACCCCCCAAAAAAAATTCCAAAAAAAAATTTAGCATAGTTTTGTAGATGAGGTAATTTTGTAATCTGAACACAATTTATCTGGCAATAGTCTTACCTCATTTGTCTGAAGTGTCTTTTGTTTTGGAGGGGGTGGTACCAGGGATGGAACGCAGGACCTTGCACTTGTGAGGCAGGCAGCGGAACCACTGAGCTACATCCCCGGCCCCTGTCTGAAGTGTCTTTTGACAAACATGAATAATTCCAATTTGGATACGATGGGAGCTCCCTCACAAGTGTGGGTTTTTAAAGATTGTAGGAAAAGTAGGAAGGGGAGGTGCCCCTCTGATTCCCTTCAGAGGGCTGTGGAGGGTGAAGTTCAGAGTGGTCTGAGGCTTGAGAAGGGCACCGGAGGTGGCTTTTATGTTTTCTGTTTATTTTTTTTAAATCCAAAAGCTGAGGCTCAGAAGTAAGTGTCTTTTCCTAAAATATGGAACATGGTCAAGACTTGAACTCCTTTAGACTGATTGATTTTTGATACAGGAGATGGAACCCAAGGCTTTGTGTGTGCTCTATGTCCATTTTTATCTTTATTGTTTATTATTTATTTATTTATTTAGGGTACCGGCGATTCAACTTGGGACCTTTGTGCTTGCGAGGCAGGCAGTGGCACCACTGAGCTAAATCCCTGGTCCCTCATTTATTTTTTGAGACAGGATCTGACAAAGTCATGAATTTCCCACACCAGCCTTGAATTTGTGATACTCCTGGCTCAGCTTTTATATATAAATATTTTCTTTCTGGTACCGAGGTTTAAACTTGGGTCCTTGCACTTGCAGGGTAGGTGGCAGAACCACTGAGCTAAATCTCCGGCCCTCAGTTTTTGTATTTTAACATTGTTCAGCACAGGATGATGTCGAAGTAGATGGGCTCACCACTTAGCAGCAGGTTAGTCAGGATTGAGGTGACAAGTTACTCTAGGGACAGCAGAAAGCAGAACTGGCTGCTATTTTCTCTAGCACGAAATGTTCCTCAAAGTAGAAAAACACAGTATATGCTGGAGAAAGGAAAGTTGAAGCCATCTGGATGAGTGGAAGGAAACATCTTTTAGCCTTCGGTGTGTTCAGATCTGCAGACCTGGTCAGGTTGTAAGACAGACCTTGTGGAGTAAACTGAGCCACTGGGCATCTTTGAGAAACGAAGAGTCTGTGATGGTACAGGTTCGTGATCCTGGTGCTCTGGGAAGCTGCAGCAGAGGGTCAAAAGCTAGCAACTTACCTAGACCCTGTCTTTAAAAAGGGCCGGGCATGGAGGCGCACACCTGTAGTCCCAGCACTTGGGAGGCTGAGGTAGGATTGCCTTGAGTTTGAGGCCAGCCTGGGCTACAGAGTGAGCTCAGACCCAGCCTGAACTCATAGTGAGACCCTGTCTCAAAAAGGGGGGTGTGGTGGGGACAAAGTTCTCTGTACAGGGCCAGGGTCTAATTCTCGACGCCACACATGCACATGCGCACACTGATTGCGGGAATTAGCTGTGGTGCCAGAGAGTGAAGGAGCTCATCTGTCACCAGAGGTGGCGATGGGAAATGTGTGCGGATCAGTAAGTGTGATGTGCCCCTGTGGTAACCTGGAAAGGGAGTGTGAGCTCCTGGAGAACAGTTTTCTCCTGACAGGTGACTCAGTCGAGGCTGTAGATGTATCTCCTGTCTTGCTTCTTCGTGCTGTGTGGGTGCTAGAACCCAGGGCCTTGTTCACACTGGGCACACACTTTACCACTGCACTGAATCCCAGCCCCAACACGATGAATCTGATCTGAGCAAGATCTTAGAAAGAGGTCTTTTATTGATTCCAGACTTTTTTGGTTCTTTTTTTTTTTTTTTGGTTTTTGGTTTTTGGTTTTTGAGACAGGGTCTCACTTTTTAGTTTATGGTTTTTGGTTTTTGAGACAGGGTCTCACTATGTAGTTCAGACTGCTCTGGAATGCCCTGTGTAGCCCAGGCTGGTCTCGAACTCACAGCGATCCTCCTGTCTCAGCCTGCTGAGTGCTGGGATTACAGGCGTGTGCCAACATGCCCGGCCTTTTGCTTCTTAATAGGGGTTGTTAAGAGAAGGTTTTTGTTGCATAAGTGGTGCACAAGTGCATTCTCACTCAGAACGTATGGGTGGAGCCTCCCTTTGCCCTCTTTGCTTCCATTTCCCTTTTGAAGGTTACCCGCTCTAACTCCTGCTGTCTTTGGAAAGAAAGCACAGCTGGGCAACATGCGATTAGGTGGAGGTCGCCGCTGAATGAATGATCCAGAGTGTTGATTATTGGGTCCCCAGAGCTCCTGTGGGATCCTGGGGGTCAGTGATTCCTGTAAAGACGAGAAGGGAGGTTTATAAAACATGTGCATGATGGCAAGCTAATTATTGAATAACAAAATTGCATTCAAAGTGACCCAAACAAACCTGAATTCCTGGCTAAATAGGCCTTGATTGTTCGTTCATTTTTTATGGAGCGCTTTACTCTGCAGAAAATTGTAATGCAGACAGTGCCATGGACAGCCTCTGCCTGCCTCTGGAGCTTCCTGCTTCCTGTGAGGACAATACTCCCGGAACACAGCCAGGCACAAGTGCCACCTAGGAGATTGAGCTCGGTGCCGTGATGACCGTAGATGAGGACTCACCCTGGCTGGGATGACCAAGACAGGTTTCTGAGGAGGTGACATTCGGAGTGGACCTGAGGAGTGGATAGCTGTGGGTGGACAAAATGAGTGGTTAGTGATTGTCTGGGTCAGCAGCCTCCAGACTTTGGCACCGGGGACTGGTTTCACGGAGGAGAATGTTCCGCAGTTGGAGGTAGGGGGTTTTCAGGATGATTCTACCCAATTACATGTATTGTGTGTTAATTTCTATTATTATTACGTTGTAATGTGTAGTGAAATAATTACACAACTCACCACAGTGCAGAGTTTTTGGAGTCTTGAGCTTGTTTTCCTGTAGATAGACAGCCCCGTCTCAGGTGACAAATAACCTGTCTCAGGTGATAGGAGAGAGAGACACCTGATGGTGTGGCTCTGTCCAGTCTACTCTTGGTTCTCATTTGGTTGCTGACTGCGGAAAATGCTGCTTCGCCAAGGCAGGGTGTTACCATGGAAGCAGGCTTTTCCACGCTCTTAGGGCATTCTCCGGGTACTTGAGGTGTGCTCAAAGGTACCAGGACCACTGCTGGCCAGGTGTGGTGGTGCACGCCTGTGATCCCAGCACTTGGAAGGCCAGTCTGAACTGCCTAGAGAGCCCCTGTCTCAGAAAACGAAACAAAACGGCCGCTGGCATTTGCAGTCTCTCTTAGCAAAGACAGAGTCGATTGACGTGGTCGGTCAGATAGGTGTGGACCCACTCCTCCCCAGCTCGGCTCCTTTGTGGTGGGGAGCGTGCTCACACTCTGGGAAGCTGAGCAGGGTGATCTTGCGCCAGCGGTGATAGAGATTGTGGAGCGGGTGGGATGTCACGGAGGTGAGCAATTTGTGGCCCATTTTGTCAGTGAAAGGCTGCCGGCGGGGACCGTGTTCTGAAGAGCAGCTCCTGGGTGGCTCTCGTCACTCGGAAGCGTTGGCCCGTGATCTCCCTTGGAAGCTGCCTCCCTCCTGTGCGTGGAGGAGATGTCCACTCTGCGCCCACAGCCTCGGAGCTGCGAGGAGACGTGGGGAGGGAGCACTGTAATATGGCTTCACTGCGTTCAGTGACATTTTCAGCCAGCCAGCGTTTCCTCACGCTCAGAAGCGACCTCCGTGACCTGAATGGTGAAGCCAGAAAGCGACCCAGTCATGGCGGCCTGCCATACGCCGGCACAGAGTGACCACTGCCATTGTCCTGATGCCTAGGAGGTCCGCAGCTGTGCTGTTGGTTGGCAACACCCTCTGCACGTCCTCCTGAGAAGCGTGTCCCACCGAGGAGCATCACACCTTGTCCAGATTAGTAGATCTGTCACCCTGGCTTGTGTGCCACAGCGCCTCAGCATGCACCAACAGTCATGCCTCTGTTTCTCTAGTAGTGCCAGCCGCGAGAGGAGCACTTCCGGCCGTTTGAATGACAGCCTGTCCTCTTAACGGTCACAGCAGCTGTCCTTGGCACCAGGCAGGATCGGCCCTTCGCCAGGGGAGGGGCCTCGGCACTATCAGTGCAGCAGCCAGCAGGAGGGCCGTGGACACACTTGCTGGCAGGTGCCCCAGCGTTGCCTCCTTTCTGCGAGCTTGCGTTTCTTTCTTTTGAGAAGTTCCAGGGCTTGTCTCATCACAGGGTGTGGTCTGCGTGGTAAAGTGGTTTTGAAGGTTTCATGGCAGCTTGTCTGTCTGCTCATCCTGGTTACAGAGCGGCTTGGAGAGTGGGACCCTCTGTGGCAGTGACCCCGTGACTCCACAGCACTCCATGTTTTGTCCCGAAGCTGCTGTCTTTTGTTGCAGTCTTAGCGCCTTCAGGCTGCTCCCCATTTTGAAGAGCCTCTCCAGCACATTTGTCTTGACTCACTGGCGGGGCTGGCTGTGGGCTTCCCAGAGCTGACTGGGATGCAGGCCCCGTGCAGGAGAGAGGTGCGGGCAGAAGTGGCGAATAAAATAGTGGTGGTGCGTGCGCGACCTGACGTGAGCCTCTCATTCTGACTGGCGCCACTGAAGGCAGCCTGCTTGTCACTTGCCGCTCCCCAGACGATTTGATGTGAGTAGGCAAGCAGATAAGTGTGGTGTCGGCACAGTCCGGCCTCTGTGTGGGCATCCGCCCCGGCTCCAGCACCGCCTCGGGGCCGCTCACCCTCTGTGCACCTGCTCCTCTCGGGCCCTGGACGAGTTGGGGTGGATCTGGGGGTGAGAGCCGAGTATGACGTTCCTTTGGGGTGATAAAAATGATTGAAAACTGATGGCGCTAATTCTGTAAACATACTAAAAACCACAGCATTTTGCCCTTAAAATGGTAATGTGTAGAATTCAGATTATGTCTATGAAGCTGTCAACAACAACAAGAAATAAGAGCAGGCTGGTGGGTGGTAATGCTTGCCTTCTCCTGTGTAGTGCATGCGGGTGGGCAGCTCTGCTGCCGGCCTTGCTTGTTTGTTTGTTTGTTTGTTTGTTACCAGGGATCAAACTCATGACCTTGGGCTAACAGAAGCAGGTGGGGAACCACTGAGCTAAATCCCCAGCCCTGGACCTTGCTTGTTGATCGGCCCCTCCCGGCTCATCCTGGCCACTGTCGGCTCTCTGGCACAACACGTGCCTCCCTGTGTGTTAAGCTGAAGATGACCAGAGGTGCTGCAGTGCTGCTCAGCTCCTTGCCTGTGCCCCAGTGACCCTGCCCTCTGTGCTCCGTGTGAAAAGTTCCTGGACGCAGAGTCGCTGGGATTGGAATCTGCACCGGAAGCGTCCGTGTGCAGATCGTGATTTTATGCTGAGTCCCTGGGGAGTGCTCTCAGTCCCCTCTGGTCTCCTCCGCCCCAGAATGGGGGTCTGCAGCACCCAGTGCACGTGAGAGACTTGTGTTATTGTTGGGGTGTAACCTTCACTGGAAGACAGGGAGCCTCCTTAATAAGTGGTGCTGGAGAAACTGGCTGCCCACTTGCCGAAGATTGAAACTAGACCCGTGTCTCTCACCATGCACTAACCTAAAATCAAAATGGGTCAGACCTTTTTTTTTTGGTACCGGGGATCAAATTCAGGTCCTTGTGCTTGCAAGGCAGGTGTTGGAACCTCTGAGCTAAATCCCCGGCATTGTCAGATCTAAATATTAAACAATATGCTGGAAGAGAGTGCAGGTGGAACTCTTGACAACATTGGTGAAGATAAAGACTTTATAAACAAAACCCTAGTCACACAGGAAATATCACAAGTAATCAATAACAGGGATCTCATCATATTAAAAAGCCTCTGCAGAGCAAGAGAAACCACCAACATAGTGAAGAGACAACCCATGATGTGGGAAAAAAAAATTGCTACCTATTCATCACACGTAGAAATACTACATATAAAGAATATATAAAAAACTGAGAAAGCTGGGGATTTAGCTCAGTGGTTCTGCCCCCTGCCTTGCAAGCACAAGGACCCGAGTTCAATCTCCAGTACCAAAACAAAAAACAAAAAAATGAGAAAAATGAGATACCCTCCCCCCATTTAAAGACCCAATCCAAAAATGGGCATCTTAAACAAATAAACACTTCTTAGATGAAGAAGTAGAAAACAGCTAATAAATACATGAAATCACATCACTGGTCCATTGCAGAGATGCAAATTAAAACAACGCTAAGATTCCATTTCACTCCAGAAGGAATGACTATCAAGAAATCAGCTGGGCTGGAGACTGGGCTCCGTGGTTCTGCCGCCTGCCTCACAAGCACAAGGGCCCAAGTTCAATCCCTGGTACCAAAAAAAAAAAAAAATCAACTCGGGGCTGGGGATTTAGCTCTGGTTCCACCACCTGCAAGCGCAAGGTCCCAAAGTTGATCCATATGTGCCCCCCAAAAAGAAATCAGCCAATAACAAATGCTGGTGGGGCTGTGGGGGCAAAGGAAACTTCCACTGTTAGTGGGAGTGCTGACTGGTACAACCACTGTGGATGGAAATCAGTATGGAGATTTCTCACAAAACTAAAACTGGAAATTCCAGGACTTGGCTATTACCCTTAATATTTTCCCGAAAGAATTCAGAGCATCATACCACAACGATATATGCACGCCATGTTTGTAGCAGCACAGTGTATAACAGCTAAATCTTAGGAACAGCCCCATTGTCCATCAGTTGATAAATGCATAAGGAAGATGTGGGCTTTTTCTCTGGTGGAGCACTACTCTGCCACAAAGAAGGATGAGCTCGAGACATTTCTAGTTAAGTAGATGCCCCTGAGACCGTCCTTTACTGAGGTGTACATCAGTGGGAGAGGTGGAAGATTTTCCTATGATGTATGCAGGGAGGCACCACACAGGGCCAGTGCAGGGGAGAGAGTAGTGGTTTCCTTTCTGAGAGGCTGCTGCCCTGAGGACAGCAGAGGCCATGGCTGGGCAGCGGTGGAGAACAGTGGGTCCCTTGCTTAGTGATAGGGCGGTGAGGGCTGGGTACCTGGTGAGGGGTGCTGGTTAGGGTTATTTCCGACTGGTGGAGTTTGAGCCCTGATAGGGTGCTCAGACAGAGAGGAGTAGAAGCAGAAATTATTACGGCGTGGGCATGGTGCCGCCCGCTTGTCATCCCAACACTGGGAGCTGAGGCAGGGGGAGCACTGCTGAGTTCGAGGCCAGCCTGGACTGCATAGCGAGACCCTGTCTCAAGAAAACAACAAAAAAAGAAATTGTTACATAAAATCCTGCGTTGGGCTGGGTCCACTGCTGTGTATCTCCTCTGGCATTCTCGGAGGCCGCAGCAGGAGAAATTTCAAGGGCCCTGTGTTCAGTCATCGGTGCCACCATACAGTAAAAACCCTTCCGTTTCCCAGCACTTGTGACCAGTCGCTGACTTACTTTTCAGAAGCAGTTCCAGAACCCGGAGTGGGCTGTGGAGATGGGCTTGTTCCCGCGCTCTGCCTGGCTCCTGAGGAGAGCGGTGTGAGCCTGGGCTCCGTCCAGGGAGTGCTTGCCAGTGTCCGCAGCCTCTGCCCTCTCTGCCCCCAGATGGACGAGGATGAGGACGAGGACGACGTGGGCGAGCATGACGAGGACCACCCCGGGATGGAGGTGGTGCTGCACGAGGACAAGAAGTACTACCCGACAGCTGAGGAGGTGTACGGCCCCGAGGTGGAGACCATCGTGCAGGAGGAGGACACGCAGCCCCTCACGGGTGTGCCGCGGGGCGCGGAGGGGGGTGGGGCGGCAGCCCGGCTCTTCGCTGCGCTTAGGGGCATTTCTGGGCGAAGGTGCAGCTAACCCCGTTTGTTTTCTTTCTGTTTTCGTGTTAACCCTGTTTGACTGTTCTTTAATTCCTTTGCTCCTGAGCAAATGCTGGTGTCCACTGGGCTTTTGCCCCCAGTCTCTCTGCCTCTCCATGGTCTGCCGAGCCTCCGGAGCGCAGCCGCGTGCTGGGAAGGCGAGGAGGGCCTCTGAGCGCACATGGACACGACCTGAGCCTGCCCTCTCTTCTGCTTCAGGCAGAGGCAGACCCCAGCACCCTCGCGTCCCCGAGTCCCCAGGCGTTCTCTGCATGGGCGAGCCCTGACTGCGGCCGGCTCCGTCCTTCGGAATAGAGCCTCTGTTTCTGTTTTATGTTGACCTCATGTCGTGGCTTTGTTCCCTCTAGAGCCCATTATTAAGCCCGTGAAGACCAAGAAGTTCACACTGATGGAGCAGACTCTGCCTGTGACGGTGTATGAGATGGAGTGAGTCCTGCTGGTCCTGGGGGGCTGATGGGGGGTGGAGGCCCAGGTGGAGAGGCCGGCCATGGTAGCAGCACTTGATCTGCCAGCTGCCTCCACCTGCGTGGGGCTGGGACATTCACATCCAGTCCTGAATTTTCTCTGGCCTTCGTCCAGATCTTACCTTTCTTCTTTCTCTGTGACTTATTATTATTATTATTATTATTATTATTATTATTATTATTATTAGATTATTTTCACTCTGGGATTGAACCTAGGGCCTTCGTGTGGAGCTACATACCCAGCTTTTTATTTGAGGAAAGGTCTTACTAAATTGGTGGTTCTTCTGCCTAAGCCTCCCAAGTAATTGGAATTACAGGTGTGGACATGGCCCTTTGCATCTTTAGATTCAGAGACAGATTCTGTTTGAGACAGATTGGGAATTAGAATTATCAGTGTCAGGCCTGTGCCAGTCCCAACTCAGGAAGCTGCTTACTCTATTTCGGACCCTGTGAACTCTATCTTGACAGGGGAGGGAGGCAGCTGCGGGCAGATGTGTGCCTAGGGCCAGCCGTTCAGGCTCTTTATCTGCGGGCCTCAAAACCTGAGGGAGGCTGGGGACGTAGCTCAGTGGCACCATGCCTGCCTGGCAAGCGCAGGTCCTGAGTGTGATCCCTGGTTCTTCAAAAAAAACAACAAAAGCCCGAGGAATATGCTTGTGTGCCTGTGTATCGGAGCTGTGAATCCTTCCTAGGTGAGGAAGCTGCTTGTGTTTGCTTATAAAACAGGACCTCTTGTAATTCAGCAAAGCCAGGCCCCTTTCTGAAATGGCCAGCTTGCTGGGTCGTCAAACTGCTTGCTTTGGTGCTGGGTGCTGGGGGTTAAACCAGGGCCTGTGCACTGAGCTGCTTCCTCTGCCAGTTAAGGTGCTGTGCTGCCCAGTCTGGGCTCCCAGGCTCCCAGCATGCTGTAATGGGTCATGCCCAGCTCAGACATTGTAAATAACTTTCCAGTAACCTTCAGAACTTGCTTCATATTCCTTTGCATTCTCAGTTACGGAGTTTTAAGTCTCTGACCTTTGAGGGCAGACCCAGTCACCCAGAGGCCATGTGCTGTCGGTGGTGTGGGTCTCAGCTGGGGCCACTGCTGGCCACAATGGGGATGGGCATCCCGAGTGCCATGCTAGTGGCCTTTGACGGCCTTTACGAGAGAAGCTCGCAGAGCGATGCTGAGCCCGTGGGCGCCTGCAGACCATCAATGTCACCTAAAGGTTTGGTGTGGTGCCTACTCCCACACTGAATGCAGGGCATTCCTGGCCCTTTTGTATTTTATTTTGAGACAGGGTCTTGGTAAGTTGCCAAGGCTGGCCTCAAACTTGAGATTGTTTTGCTTCAGCCTCTCAAACTGCTAGGATTATAGATTTACCCTTCCCTACCTAGCTAGCCTAAAGCATTTTAAAGGGACAGTTCTCATAATTTGTGTTAGTTCCAGTATTGGTTTTGTTTTTCTTTTTAAATCTAATTATTGTTCAGTGTGGTGGCACCTGCCTGTAATTCTAGTTCTCGGAAGGCTGGGGCAGGAGGATCGCTGTGAGTTTGAGGCCATTTTGGATACATATTGAGCTCAAGGCCAGCCTGAACTCCATAGTTAGACCCGGTCTCAAACCGCAAACCAGCCAACCAACTGGAGTTTTACTGCTGAAATCCCCAAGATAATTTCCTTCTGATACGTCCCATGGGTAGCTCTTTTGTCCCCAAAGCCAGCCCCACGCAGATGGTGCCATTCTGCCTCCTTGCCTTTTCCAGTCAGTCTGAAGTCTGTTCCTGCCTGAAAATACCTCGACTTGCACTACTCCGTGTTTGAAAACTTCTGCCAAAGCCCCTTCCTTCTCTTCTCTTTCCTGCTTCCAGTTTCTTGGCTGACCTGATGGACAACTCGGAGCTCATCCGAAACGTGACCCTCTGCGGCCATCTCCACCACGGCAAGGTGACGCCAAGGGTTCCCGGCCGGCTCTCCCCACGCGGGCGTCCCTGAGCCACGTCTGTGTCTAGACAGACGTGGGAAATGGAGCCTCACTGATCCTTACGGGACCGTGTTCCTAGGGGATGCCTGTCCAGGAGGGCTTTTGTGTTTCATTTAAAAACGCTCCTGTGGCCTCCGTGCTGATCTTCTGCTGTTCTGTACCCTCCTTGCACCCTTCTCGTCCCTCGGTTACGTGGTGTACTGGGAGTGCGGGAAGGACACCACAGGTTTGCCTCTGCGGGGGCAGGTCCTGACCAGCTCTTTCCTTTCAGACCTGCTTTGTGGACTGCCTCATAGAGCAGACGCACCCAGAAATCCGAAAGCGCTATGACCAGGATGTAAGTGGGGCTGGCGCAGGCGAGGGGGGCCCTTGGGAGCGGAGGGGCGTCTCCTTCCCCTCCCTTTGCCTTGCACTCGGCAGACTTGGTGCCCGCAGAGCTGGGTGTCTGTCTGGCCTCTATTAGTAGCCCGAAGGAACAGCACTCCGCTTTCTCAGGAGCCTGTAGTGTTAACCTGTGGTGTTTACATGCCCTGCTCTGTACTGGGGGTCCCTCAGTTGTGAAAGTCCGACCTTCATAGTCTGGTTATTAGCCTGCTCTGTAAATACCATACAGTCGGACCTCATTGCTTTCGTCGTAAATTTAAATGCCTGTGAATGAGGCTGCCTGGAGCACCGAGTCTCAGTGCTCGGTCTCAGCCAGATTGACTGCCTGCCGCACGGCTCTCCAGCCAGACCCACTTGGCAGCACCGCCCCTGCCTATCCCCCGCTCAAAGCCCAGGATCTCTGGCCCTCCCGAGGCAGACACGAGCTGAGGGTGGAGGCTGAATTCAGGTCGTAACAGCGCTGTGTCTTTTCCAGCTGTGCTACACCGACATCCTCTTCACGGAGCAGGAGGTGAGTGTGCCCAGACACTGTGCTTCTCAGTGGGTAGCCCTGGAGGACAGCGCCTAGGCCTGTTCTTGCTCAGCCTGCCCCACGCCTCTTCCCCTGTCCCTGTTGATTCAGAGTAGGATCAAAAGTGCAGTGAATATTTTAAGTCTTGAGGAAAATTTTATTACAGTAAAAGACAGGTTCGTTGCCCTGAGCCCCCTGAGAACCCTCCCCTCGCTTGTCCACACTCATCCCATCGCCCTTGCCAGTTTCTGCAGCGTCTCTGGAGTTCTCTCTCCGTGCCTCGAGCTGCAGTGTTGGCTGCCTCAGAGTCACGATTCAAAACATTTCCCTTCCGTGGTCACCTTGACTTTGGGGAAGAGCCTTAAGTCACACGGTGCCAGATCCGATGACAAAGGCAGACAGGACACAGCGTCGTGTTTTTAGCAGCTGCCTTTCCTTTGGATAGTGTGTGGCCGCAGCATTTGCTGTATGTTTTATCACACCTCGGAAATTTCCTCAGGAAAGAGGACTCCAGAGCTGCTCCCAGAACGGCCAGAAGGGATGCGACAAGTGTGTTCGGGAGGCGGGGATCAGTGCAGTGCTTTTACTGTAATAAATTCATCAAAATGTGAGTTGTGATCCCCTCGTCATGGAATGAGAGCTGGTGAGGCACAGTGTCCCTGGCAGGATTGAGCATAGCCCAGAAAGGCCCGTCTGAGGCCAGTGTCTGCCGTGTGCCTGGCACTTCTGCCCTGCCGCTGTGGAGTGGCTCCAGGCACGGGGACGTTCACCCTCCTGCCTGTCTCGGTCCCCTTTCCCTTTGAGAAAGCTTTGCCTCCCTGCTTCCTATTGCCCAGCTTTTATTTTGTTCCTTATTTATAATTTAGGTTTCTCACATAAAGAGGAACCATGGGGCCAGGGATGTAGCTCAGTGGTACCACACCTGCCTCACAAGTGCAAGGTCCTGTGTTCAATCCCCAGTACCAAAGCAAAAACAGAAACCGTGGATATTTAAACTTGTGTGGATTTTATTATTATTATTTTATTTTGTTTTACTTTTTGGGACTGGGGATCAAACTTGAGCCCTTGCGCTTGCAAGGCAGGCAGCGGAACCACTGTCCCCAGTGCTTCTGTGAATTTTAAAAGGAAGTCGCTCTTAGTATCTGGAAGATGACCTGGCCTGAGACCCAGGCTTTCAGTTTCCCCAGGAACCTCTTGGAGAAGGGGTTCAAGTATCTGAGCTTCTCTTTGTCTTCCCATCTGGATTTTTATTCCTCTCTCCTAGCTCTTGTGCCCACCTCTATTTCTGTCCCTTTTTTCCTAAATGATCACACGGAAGGCTCAAATATGTCAGCATTGTTAGCCAAAAGGACTTGGAATGGTGTCAGCACAGGATGGTTAATCAGTGAAGCCAGGTGTGGTAGTGTGCACCTATAATCCCAGCACCTTGGAGGGTGAGGCAGGAGGATCACCATGAGTTTGAGTTTAAGGTCAGCCTAGGCTACACAGTGAGTTCAAGTCCAACCTGAAATACATAGTGAGATCATATTTCTAAAAATAAAAATAAAAAAATCAATGACTATTAGCTATTCTTTTTTTTTCTTATTTTTAATATATATTTGAGTTGTGCTTTAAATATTTATTTCCTATTATAATTTTTTTTTTTAGTCCTAAATGGTTACACACCCTTGTACTCCATTTACTTGGGAGGCTGAGGCAGAATTGTGAGTTAAGGCCGGTCTGGGCTATATAATGAAACCCTGTCTCAACACACCCCTTCTCTCCCCAGATTTTCTCTTTTTCTTTTTTTTTGTGTGGTACAAGGGATTAAACTCAGGACCTTGCGCTTTCGAGGCAGGAATGGCACCACTGAGCTAAATCACTGGCACCCAAAATTTTAATTATATCCTGGTTTCCAATATAGGAAGAGGATAAGATTCTAGTACTCTAGACTCTTGTTAAGGCCTAGTAATTTTTTTTAAGGCCTAATAATTGCTTTACTGTCCTTAGTTACTTTTTTTCTCATTGCTGAGACAAAATATCCGACACCCAAAGTTAAAAGGGAAGAAGGATTACTTGGCTCGCAGTGCACAGAGCTTTCAGTCCGTAGTCGGATGGCTCCAAGGCGGGGCAGCACGGCAGAGGGGCGTCACAGAGGACGAGCAGTTCATGGCGGGCAGAAGGGGGCAAAGCAAGCGAGTGACCAGCACGAGTGACAGCAGCAGCTTCTTCCTGCCCCTGGCTTAGGTAGGGTGGTGCCAAACCCCTCGGTGGACTGATGTAGGAATCGCAGGCCCCTAATCCCAGCATCACACACTCTAGGTCCAGCCACTCTGAAAAGCCCGCCTGTGACAGGTGCAGCTTTGGGGGAAGTTGGCTGCTCTGCTCTTTTCTCTTTTCCCTTTTTTCTGTGGTGCTAAAGGTCAAACCAGGGCAAGCACTGTATCAGTGTGCCACCTCTCCAACTTTGTTCATTTTCATTTGTACTTTTAATGTATATGAACCAGTTCTACACCCTGCCCCACCCCAACATGTTGTTGAAGGTGTTTGGTCCTCAGGGCTGGTTAGAAGCCTGGGCAGAAACCCCCACTGCCTGGGAGACGGGGAGACCTGGCAGCTGCTTGGCTTGTGTCATCGCATAGGCAGGGCGGTGACGGCTGTGTGTGCCTTCCAGAGAGGCGTGGGCATCAAGAGCACCCCTGTGACAGTGGTCTTGCCAGACACCAAGGGGAAGTCGTACCTCTTCAACATCATGGACACCCCAGGTGGGACACCCTGCTCCTGCCACCAGGGCCCGTGTCCTTTTCAGAGAGGTGCACGCACAGTTTCCCCTCCCTCCACTCCAAGGGGTTGTCCATTAAGGGGCTCCAGGCTTCTCATGTTAGCAGCTGCCCTCTGCAGGATCCTGCTTCCTTCTTCAGTGCCCTGGAAGATTTGCCCTTTGCAGCCCCTGTGTGGGCGCACATCCCCACACACACCCAGGCCACCTCTCCCTTCTGCCCACCTCCGTGGGTCGTGCTGTGCCCTCTGCACCCAGGCTGCTGTGCAAAGCGTCCTCCAGGAATGTGGCTTGGAAGGCCGGGAAGGGGCTGTGGCGCAGAGCTTTGCCCTTCAGTGCCGAGGCAGCTCACTTGGCATCGCCTTCCAGGACACGTGAACTTCTCCGATGAGGTCACGGCCGGCCTGCGCATCTCCGACGGTGTGGTCCTGTTCATCGACGCTGCAGAGGGGGTGAGTGCCCTGCACCTGGTCCTCCTCCTGTGCTGGTCCCCACACTGGCCGTGGGCACCACGTGGGCTGGGAGTGGGGACATGGGCGTCCTTGGGCTGAAGGCTGCAGACGGGGACCAGGTGAAGGTCCCCTTGCTCGCTCCCTGTTGCTGAGGCCCAAGTGGTGGGGCCCACAGCAGTCCTGGAAGCCCCAAGACAAAAGGAACAACATAAAGGAACGGAGGGAGGAACCCATAGTCCCCTGAGTGGGTTTTAAAAGTTCAAGAACCTTCTGAGAGGTTGGGCTTGAAAGGCCAGGGTATCTTTTTACCCCCTCAGTTGGAAGGAAGGTGGGTGACTTGGTCGTTGTGTCTTCCCTGGCAGGAGCCAGCAGGGGGAGTCAGAGTCATCCCTTTAAATGAACTGGGAATAATTTCACACTTAACAAAATGTTTTGTCACCCTCATTTGGTTTGTGTTCTCTTACGCACTTGCCTGTGTGTGTTTCCCCTTTGAGAGTTGATCTTGTGAGGAGGACACAGTGCAGTCATGGGACTCGGGAAGTTCCCCCGATGCAGTATGTTATGCCAGTAAATCTCGCTCTACTCCCCAAGGCTGCCTCTGATAGTTGCCCCAGTCCAGGACGGTGGGTGGTGTGGAAGACTTGTGTGTTTAGGCTCTCTTGTTGGAATGGCTCCCTAGGGTTTCTTGATCTCTTATGACACTGGCATTTTGGAAGCGTATTCATTCGGTGTGAGTTTATTTCTGCGTGAGGTTGTTTGTCAGTAGCGCTACCTAAGTGAAGCTGTAACCATCCCATCAGGAGCACAGTCCTAACTTGGGGCACTTAACCAGAGTGGACCAGCTGTGTCTCCAGGGAAAAGTTAATGTGTGGGGTGCTGGTGAGTATTCTATTCCATAACAGACTGTACCTGTGGCTTCACCATCCTCTGATGCTTTTCTGTCTGATTGTTACAAATAGGTATTTATCTTTCTTTTTTTTTTAACAGTGCTCAGGATTTCACCCAAGTGATGATACTTAGGATGCACTGAACTACAGCCCCAGCCCTTTTTTTATATTTTTATTTCAAGACAGGGTCTCACTAGGTTTCCTAGTTGTTTTGTTTTTTTGTTTGAGATAGGGTCTCACTATGTAGTGAGACTGACCTGGAACTCACTATGTAGCCCAGGCTGGTTTTGAACTCACAGCGATCCTCCTGCCTCAGCCTCCCGAGTGCTGGGGTTATAGGTATGCGCCACCACGCCCAGGCTGCTTCAGGTTTTGTGGTTGGAATTGTACTGTTCACTAGCTCATGCCTAGCATGGCAGGTTCGGTTCTTGAAACCCACTTCAGGCCTCACATCTCAGTGCTCTTGAGGGCCCGCCTTTTCATCCCCGGACCTGTCCCACCCCATGGACTCTTCCTGACTTTCTGGCACAGAAAACGTCCTTGCTCCGGTCTCAGGGTTAGCTGTTCTGTCAGGGCATTCTTCTCCAGGGAGGCCTGGTATTAGAAGCAGGATCTGGGCAGTGAGCCACACACCTGGCATCCTGCACTCTGGGAGGCTGAGGCGAGAGGAGTTCGAGCCCAGCCTGGGCAACTTAGTGACATCTTGTCTCAGAATCAAAATACAAAAAGGGCTGGAATGTGGGGAGGAGGCTCAGTACTACAAAAGAAAGTGCAGCCAGAAGTTCCTGGTCACCTGCCCACCGGTGCTTGCATGCCTGTGTGCCCAGAATGTCTGTTCAGGACTGGCTGAGCTCAGTGTGAGTGCTTGCCCAGCGTGTGTGAGGCCCTGGGTTCCATCCCCAGCTCTGCAGGCGAATGGAGAGACAGGAAAAGAGCAGCACTCGGCCTCCCAGATCCCCGATTCCCCTGGCAGCATGGCTGTGCTGGTTCCGCCTGGAGCAAGCAGGCCAGTCCAGGTTTCCCGGGCACCCTCGTCTCGGCCCTTCTCGCACCAGAGCACGCGTCAGGTCCTCCTGGCCCTTCCTGACGCTCCCTGCCTCCCCACCACATCCCACCTCTGAGCCTGTGCCCCTAGGTGATGCTGAACACAGAGCGGCTGATCAAGCATGCGGTGCAGGAGAGGCTGGCAGTTACCGTGTGCATTAACAAGATCGACCGGCTCATCCTAGAGCTGAAGCTCCCACCCACCGACGCCTACTACAAGCTGCGCCACATCGTGGACGAGGTCAACGGGCTGATCAGGTGGGTGCCGGCCTTGGACGTCCTGGTCTTACTGAGAACCCGAGGTGGCTGTGCTGCACCTCCTGGCTCATGCCCCAGGGTATGGTGGGTCTTGCCGTCAGCACCATGGCCCTCATCAGCTCGGGGTCTCGCCTCCTGCAGTCACCCCCAGCTCTCAGTCATCTTGTCTCCTCACCACACTGCCCCATAGGACTGGACAGATGCTGCAGCTCAGTCTGCTCTGGGAGAAAGGGTGGCACGTGCTGTGGGGTCACTGAGGCACTCTGCAAGATCGCAGCATGGATGAGCACGGCCAGGGCTGACGCTGCCCTGCTGTCCCGAGCTGTGCCTCCTGTACAGCTGACTGCTGTAGGGCCCAAAATATTTTAAGCTGGCGCAGTAGAGCACATGCATACTCCCAGCTACTCAGGAGGCTGAGAGGAGAATCGCTTTAGCTCGGGAGTTTGATGTGTTTGGTGTGTGTGTGTGTGTGTGTGTGTGTGCGTGCGTGCGTGCGTGCGCGCGCGCGCGCGCTTGCTGGGAATCAAACCCAGGGCCTTGTGCCTTCCAGGCCAGTGCTCTTTCACTGAGTTACATCCTCAGTCCCATAGGCCTGGGGAGTTTGAGACCAGCCTGGGTAGCATTGTATCTCACAAAAGACACTTAAAACTAAAAGTTTTGGCCTTATGGATATAGCTTGGGGTGGGAGCTTTGCCTAACATTTTGCAAGGCCAGCACTGCAAAATATAAGTAAGTAAAGTTTGGACCTGACCATCTAAGGCAAAACCCCTATGGCACAGGATCAGTAGGCACAGGTGGCAGAAGTGGGGAGTTGCTCTTTCTCTCTCTCCGGCAGTGTCTGTTCTCTACCACATTGAGATTTCTCCCCACGCCTCCCCGGTTCCCGTCCCGTCCTGTCCCGCACAGCCTCCCGTGTGGGTGACTTGCCGAGCTGGGGCCCGGTGTGCGGCTCCGAGTCAGAGCAGCCCCGCTGGCCCTCCTCAGTCCCTCTCAGAGTGCTGCACCCAGGCCGGACCTGGCTCACCCTTGCTCTCTCACAGCATGTACTCCACCGACGAGAACCTCATCCTCTCCCCACTGCTGGGCAACGTCTGCTTCTCCAGCTCTCAGTACAGCATCTGCTTCACACTGGGCTCCTTCGCCAAGATCTACGCTGACACCTTTGGTGAGTGGCCTGCTGGGGAAGCAGCTCCCTCCCAATCCCACCGGGGCTGTGGGCTGAGCAGTTTGTAAACACCAGAAAGACATTTAAAACTTGGTCAGCGGCCAGGAGTGGTGGTGCACACTTCTGATCCATCCCAGCTTCTTGGGAGGCTAAGGCTGGAGGATCACAAGATCAAGGTCAGCCTAGGTACTTAGCGGGACCCTGTCTCGAGTCTGGAAAGGACTGGGCATGTGACTCCGCATTCCTCGATTCTGTCCCGCTGATAACCCCGAAGAAGAAGGGTGAGCCAAGTGAGCAGTGGGTGGAGTGGATCTGAGCCAGGCTGCGGCAGCAGACTCGGGTCTCTTGTCCCTGTGTACTCTCACTGCTGCACAGGTGCCTGGATTCCGGTAGGAACAGCCTCCTGTCTTGGGGCTGCTGTCAGTTTGTGAAGGAACCAGTGTAGGTGCCACCATCGCCCTGTGAAGAGCCATGCGTGGGCTTTTGGAGGTCAGCACCGAGGGGCAGGCCAGGGGTCACAGGCCCTGCCCTGCATTTCCTGTGCAAGGCACAGAGCTTCTCGGAGGACTGTAACTGCTGAACGCACATGCACCATGCCGTGAGCCATCTCCTGCTCCCAGGGCCTCCACCCAGGGGCATCAGACTCCCTCGGGTGGTTAGCGCAGAGTTGTGGGCCGCTCCAGAGTCTGCAGGGCAGGGCAACAGAGGAAGCAGGCGCTGTGGGTGGGGGGAGGGAGTCCCAGACACCATACCCTGCAGGTGCCTAGGAGCTGTGGGGTCAGGCCTGTCCCACAGCTGTGACAGACTGACTGCAGGAAAGGCCACCTGGGCAGACGCTGCTGATGGGAACAGGGCTGCAGGTGCAGGATGGCACTGTACGAGGGGCTGCACAAGAGGAGGTATCCCAGGGAGGTTGGAAGCCAGAGTGGGGGGGGCCCTGGAGTCCAGGAGCGTAGGCTGCAAAGTCAGCACACAGGTGTGCAGTGATCATGGTGCAGGTGGCATCGCACTTGAGAAGAGTGGGGAGGGAGAGGAGGACGTGGTCATGAGCCACGTGGGGAAAAGGCTCCAGAGCGCGAGTGCGTGTCCGGTGGGGACTTGGTGCTGAGAAAGTGGGTGTGTGCCCTGGGGCCACCTCGGGTGGGAGGCCTGGCTTACGTTGGGCATCGGAAGAAGTGGCTGTTTCAGGAGCAGTGGCTCAGGTCTTCACAGCCACAGTTGCTTGGCTACATCCCACCAGGACTTGGTGTGACTGCACCAAACTGGGAGATGAGCCCAGGTCACTTTTTTTTTTTTCCTGGAGGCCCGGGTGATTGCCTGCTGGGAGCAGGGTTTGTGGGCAGTGGTGACCTGTGGCAGAGGGCAGAGCAGAGCTCCCAGCTGGATCCGGGCTGAGGTAGTGCCAAGTCCATTCCCTCAGGGGGGACTTGGTTCCAGCCCACACCAGCCCTGCTGCGAAGGAGACTTGGACTCCTTCCTGCCTGGGCTCCAGCGCAGTCATCCGCCCTGTCCTTTGTGCCTCAGTGTCCATGCCTACCTGGGTAGAAGGAAATGCCTGGGCCCCAGAGAGGAAGGTGCCAGGATTCCTCAGCCGCAAAGCGCCTGGGCACCTGAAATAGAACCTCAGACAGCACTGTGCTAGGTAGGTGTAATTGTGTGCCTTTTCCTGCAGGTGACATTAATTATCAGGAGTTTGCTAAAAGACTCTGGGGTGATATCTACTTCAACCCTAAGACGTGAGTAGGGTGCGGGGCGGGGAGCGTGTTTGGTTTCCCAGCAGGCCAGGCAGATGGGGGGCGTGGTGGTCCCACAGCAGTCTGAGCCCTGGAGTCTTTGGAAGCCGAGATCACAGCACGGGGCTCCCTCCGGCTCCTCAGACCCGCCTGGCTCATTGATGCCACCCCCTTCTCCCTGGTCACTGGGAGCACATCTGCTCCGCAGGCGGAAGTTCACAAAGAAGGCCCCAACCAGCAGCTCCCAGCGAAGCTTCGTGGAGTTCGTCCTGGAGCCCCTCTACAAGATCCTGGCTCAGGTGAGCATGGCTGCCAGTCAGTCCTCTGCCCGCCTGCTCAGCACTGTCCTGCCAAGCCTGAGGTCCCCGGTCCCCAGCGGGGTGCAGGGTCCTCTCTTGGGCCCAAGCCTCTTTGCTGCTCCTGATTTCAGCACTGCCACTGGACTTTGGGGAAGCTGGAGGGGCACGGTGTGATGCACCCAATCACTCCACACTAGAACTTGTCACTGCAGCCGTGGAAATGAGTTACAGGTCAAATGGTGAAAACCTCCTTGCTCGTTGACAGTATAGGAGCACTATTGCAGTATTATTTATATCTGACTGAAAAGAAAAACGAGATGTTAAATTTTCACTTATGAATATTTTATTGAATTTATTCTGGTATATCCCTTCAAATATTTTACAGCTGTTGAAAGGAATGGCTACATGAAGCCAGGTGTGGTGGTGCACCCCAAACACAGCTGCTCAGGAGGCTGAGGCAGGAGGATGGCAATCTTGAGCCCAGCCCTGGGAAATTTAGCAAGATCTTTTCTATGTAGATGATTGATTGATTGATTGATTGATTGATTGGGCTGGGGAGGTAGCTGAGTAGTAGATCACCTCCCGGCATGCATGCGACCCTGGGTTTGATCCCCAATACCAGGAGAAAGGCAGAGAAGGAGAGAAAGGATGGAAGGCAGGGAGAACTGGAGGACTGGCTGCTGAGCACACGTGTGTGGTGTGCGCGGAGGACCCGGTTGCGTGTGGGGAGAAGTGCAGGCACATGGGGGATGCGCAGGCTGGGGTTTTCACTCGGCCTCTGCTTTTCCTGCCTGCCGTAGGCTCGGCCAGCACGCACCTGCCCTTGGAGCTCCTCGCCTGCTGGGACGCCGGCACCCAGCATAGCAACAGGCAGAATAACAAAACTGCATTGTGGGAAACAGGGTCCCATCAGGCTAATAAAAGAAATTTATAGAACCTGCCTGGTACAGACTGAGTCTGCCGGAATGATTTAGCCTGTCTCCGTTCTGGTCCCGCTGGGTGGAAGGCTGGGGTGGCCTTTTTTGGTTTCCTCCCGCAGTGATCTCTAAATCTGTGCCTCCCAGGGCAGTGGGAGCGGTGCTGCATCACCATCACCAGGGGGCAGCACTGCAGTGCACGTGGGGCTTCCACATGGAGGGGGTGCTGTGGCTCCTGACACCTCCCAGGGCGGGCTCAGTGTGACAGCTCCTTGCCTTGTCCCCAGCCTCCCATCCCCATGACTGACCCCAGTGTCCTGCACGCTGCAGGTGGTGGGTGACGTGGACACCAGTCTCCCGAGGACCCTGGACGAGCTCGGTATCCACCTGACCAAGGAGGAGCTGAAGCTGAACATCCGGCCCCTACTGCGCCTGGTCTGCAAGAAGTTCTTCGGGGAGTTTACAGGTGACAAAGCCCAGACCTGTATCACCTTCTCCACCCCTCTGGCCTCTGTCTCATGAGCACTCCCTACCCATGTGGTGCGGAGTTCTGAGTCCATGCCACCCGTGGGTGTGCCTAGGCGCCCTCCTCAGTGACAAAGCAGAGGGCCTCTCCCGGAACTGCAGGAGCATGTGGGAAGGTGAGGGGCTGCCTTTGAGTTCTGGCTGGGCCCGGGAACAGCATCGCTGGGGCTTGGGGACATGAGGTCAGGGTTACGTAAGAGCATGGCTAGTTGGGAGAAGACTGGATTTGGATCATGCACTGGCCCTTTTGTGGATGATCCAGAAAAGGTGGCGATCTCTGAGTGCAGTGGGGACACTGGTCAGAACCAGGCACAGAGCATACTTTACAGTTTTTAGATAGGATTTGCTGGGACTGAGGATCGAACTCAGGACTCACATGTGCTAGCTGAGTGGTCCACTACAGCTTGGGCGTGCTAAGCTTAGCTTGTGCAAGGCTGGCCCAGGCTGCGACACTTGGCACCAGCTTGGATGCTGGTACTGTGCCCACCTGTCATCCCAGCTCCTTGGGAGGCCAAGGCAGGAGGATTTGCAAGTTTAAGGCCAGTCTGGACAACTAAGCAAGACCTTGTCTCAGAATAAGGAAATTTTAAAAAGCACTGTAAAACAAAACAATAGACATGTCCATCTCCATGGATAATGAACATCGTCTTTGACCCTTTTGGTTTTTTGAGACAAGGTCCCTGTAGCTCAGGATGGCCTTGAACTCATGGTTGTCCTCTCTCAGCCTTCTATGCCACTACCCTGGCTGAGTGTTCCCTGGTGTGCTTTATCGACCTTCAGGAACAGGAGCATAGTGAAGGATCAGCTTGGGGAGCGTCCTGTGGAGGTGCAGAGCTTGGCCCTGACCTAGCTCTATGGGTGTGGTCTGTGCCGGGGTCTGGCCATGTCTTGCTACAGCGCCTCAGCTCTCAGCAGCTGAGTTACGAGGAACTGGCATCCCGAGCTCCACCTCCCACCCTTTCCTACTTCATGTGGGCCTCATCTTCCAGCCTCCCAGCTGCACTTCCTGGAGCCAGGGCTTTGTGGGCATGGGAGCAGCAGCGCAGGCCCTCCAAGGCTCTGCCCGCACGTGAGTCTGGAGCCTGCTGTGCAGCGTGGCCCTCTCTCCCCAGGCTTTGTGGACATGTGTGTGCAGCACATCCCGTCCCCCAAGGTGGGCGCCAAGCCCAAGATCGAGCACACCTACACTGGGGGTGTGGACTCCGACCTCGGCGAGGCCATGAGCGATTGCGACCCTGATGTAAGAATGCAGCCCGGCTCCCTCCCTCGGGACACTGATTTCTCCTCTCCAGAATGGTGCTGTCCTTCCCGTGAGCAGAACCTGGTCTGGATTGGGAAGCCTGTTGTTAGCACCAGCTGTGGGGCCTTGGGAGTCTGCCTGGGCTGCCCAGGTCTCAAGGCCCGGGCCAGGATGTGAGGCGGGGCTGGGTGCAAGGCTGCCTGAGAGTTCATGAGTTAGGGGATGTTCCTCGGTTATTACACGGGGAGGACTCCACACAAGGCAGCTCGTCCTGTTGGTACAGAGTAGGTTTGATCCCCAGGCACCCAAATACAAGCCAAAAATAGTCCTTTCCAGCTGTTCCTGGGCAGTCTAATCTCTCCTTAGCTGCATGTGGCTTGTTGGGAATTGTGAGGGATTTAGGACAAGTGATCTTGCCTAACCCCGGCAGCTGCCGTCCCAAACCTGCTCTTCCTTGGCTCTCAACCCCCAGCAAAGCAGATGCGTTGTACCCCCATTGTCTCCTGTGGAACCCCACATGGGGAGGCAGAGCGAGAGGTGGGACCCTCCCAGAGAGCCCCTCCTCCATGAGTCTGGGTCCTCCCCAAACTGCGTAGCTGGCGGGGGAGGTGGCAACTGTTGTTACCCATGGTGTCCCACACTCCTCCAGGGCCCGCTGATGTGCCACACCACCAAGATGTACAGCACAGACGACGGAGTACAGTTCCACGCCTTCGGCCGGGTGCTGAGTGGCACCATCCACGCTGGGCAGCCCGTAAAGGTGCTGGGGGAGAACTACACCCTGGAGGACGAGGAGGACTCTCAGATCTGCACTGTGGGCCGCCTCTGGATCTCGGTGGCCAGGTGCTGTGAGGGGAGGGGGCAGTCACCATGGCAGCAGGAGCTGCTGGGCTCAGAGCAGGGAGGGAAACGGCCCTCCCTCTGTGACTTCTTGTTCTTACCCAGGGTCACTAGGACTGAAGAGTTGAGTTAATGCCAAAGGCTTGGCCTTTGTGTTTGGGTGGCTGGAATGAATTACATTCTCCGGTGTCCCTGAAGTCACAACCTTTACATTTCTTCCCCCCAAAAATTGTTTCCTAACCTCTACTATCTGCCCAAAAGAGAAGGCTTGAGCTGGCTTGGCAGTACCTGTCATCCCAGCATTCAGCAGGCTGAGGCAGGAGGATTGCAGGTTTAAACCCAACCTTGGCAACTTACTGAAAGTGAGACCCCGACTTGGGGTAGGAGTGGGAATGTAGCTCAGTATCAGGGGTTGGATACAGTCCCCAGTGCTTAAAAAACAAACTTCTCATGGATCCCTGTAACAGCTATCACCAAGTCAGTGGGTGTCCAGCATTCAGCTCCCGAGCAGAGATCCCTCCTGTCCTGTCCACTCCTTGGGTGCTCTTCCCCACAGATGGCCCTGTTCCTCCTCCAAATCCACCGGGTCCTCCAAGGCGAGGAGGGGACCAGAGCACTGGGCAGGTGGCAGTGTGTCTTGTCTTGTTGCTGGCGTCCTTGTCCAGTGACACCGCAGGCAGCCACTCTGCACCCAGAGCTTTCGGTGCGCCCAGACCCACATGTGATGTCATTCTGTGTGGCTGTGGGGCCACTCTGCTCCCATCCCTGCCTGTGTGCATCTGTTGCTCACAATGCTCCGGGTCAGTGCGGGTGTGCAGCAGCACTCCATGCAAGTTGATGGGACAGCTGCCCTGCTGAGCCCTGTGGCCTTCCAGGTACCACATCGAGGTGAACCGTGTTCCTGCTGGCAACTGGGTCCTGATCGAAGGGGTCGACCAACCCATCGTGAAGACAGCGACCATCACTGAGCCTCGAGGAAATGAGGAGGTAGCGTCTCCCGTGGCTCCAGCTGAGGCTGCAAGGGCTGTGGCTCACAGAGCCCCAGGAGGCAGAGCTGAGAGGTGGGCCTTAGAGCTGCTGCCCTGCTCCAGGCCCAGCGTGGACTCTGCCTTCTGATTGGTCCCTGTGGCATTTCCCCATGCTCCGCCCCACTTTGGGCATCATGTCCCGGGGCCCTGGGCAGCACTTTCCTGGCTGGAGGCCCCGGTCCTTACCTGTACCTCGGCTGCCAGGCTCAGATATTCCGGCCCCTGAAGTTCAACACCACATCTGTGATCAAGATTGCAGTGGAGCCTGTCAACCCCTCAGAGCTGCCCAAGATGCTGGACGGTCTGCGCAAGGTGAACAAGAGCTATCCATCCCTCACCACCAAGGTACGTCAGTCCCGTGCAGCCTCCTGTGAGCACCTAGTGCCCGGCAGGGCAGCCCCGACCGCAAGGTCCCCGTCATCACATTCCTCTGGGGGCGCACTTGGGGTCGTGGCAAAGCAAGTTGTTCTGACCCTGTGTGCACTCCTGAGCCTGCCAGCCCACCTTTCCTTTTTGAGGTTGTTGTTGTTGTTTGTTTGTTTTTTTTTGAGGCAGGGTCTCCCTTTGTAGTTCAGGCTGGCCTCCAACTCACAGTGATCCTCCTGTCTCAGCCTCTCCCGAGTGCTGGGATGAGAGGTGTTGTACCACCATGCCTGGATGGCTCACCTTTCTGAGTAGCTCTAGGTCTTGGGGGCTGGTTTGACACTGTAGAGTTTATCCCTAAACAGCTAATGCCCTGGATGTGGTGGTACACACCTGTCATCCCGGCACTTTTGGAAGCTGAGGCAGGAGGATTGCAAGTTCAAGCCTAGCCTGGGCAGCTTTGCCACTCAGAGATTCTGTCTTAGGATACAAAGGGCTGGAAGTGTTGCTTAATGTGAAGGCCCTGGGTTCGATCCCTGGTTCAGCAAAAACAAAATGCTAAGATAGGGATGAAGCTGGTGACTGCATGCCTGGTCGCACCATGCTGGGTCCCATGGCCCGTGCTGCCTGTTGCAGGTGGAGGAGTCAGGTGAGCACGTGATCCTGGGCACGGGTGAGCTCTACCTGGACTGTGTGATGCACGACCTGCGGAAGATGTATTCAGAGATTGACATCAAGGTGGGCACCCACACCCTCAGGCTGAGAGCTGGGCCTGGGGAGGTGGCGCACTTTCCGGTTGTGGTGATTAGGCTCCGAGGGGGATCAGTGAGCGGGTCTGGTGCTCCTGGGCCTGCCATCCTGGGCAAGACAGCGCTCAGCCGGTGCTGCCCGGAGGAGGCTGAAGCACCCCTGGTATGGGGTGGTGCTCAGTCCTGGCCCCTCCCCTGACCCCCCCCCCTTTCTTGCTGTGGTCACTGGTGCTGTCTGAAACCACCTGGGTCCTCTCAGGTATGGAACTTCATCCTTCAACAGATCAGGTGTTACCTCTGGGATTCCTCTCCTCCCAGGTGGCTGACCCAGTGGTCACATTCTGTGAGACAGTGGTGGAAACGTCTTCCCTCAAGTGCTTTGCAGAGACGCCCAATAAGAAGTAAGCTGGGAGTCCAGGCTTGTGGGAGTGGCAGGCCAGGGGTTGAAAGTTCCACCTCAGCCTGGACAGCTTAGTGACTCAGCGAGACCCCATCTCAAAATTAAGAGAAAGCCAGGGGCCAGGGTTATAGCTCGGTGGTTCCACCGCCTGCCTTGCAAGCTCAAGGACCTGAGTTTGATCCTCAGTACGCAGACCAGAGGGACGGAGCCCAGCCCTCCCCACTGTAGAGGTGGAGACTGCACTGGGCAATGCTGGGACCCTAGCTTTTACCCCTCCACTCACCCCTCTGCCTCTGCCTCTGCCTCTGACTCCAGAGTAATGGACAGTACTGCCACTCTCATGTGACCGTGACCGTCCTCCAGCTGTGCTCCACTCTGTAGTGTTCCTGTGGTGTGGAGCTCACATGTGCTAAGCATATTTCTGCTGCTGAGCTGCACCTATCTCAGCCTTTTTAAAAGCAACAGCCTCAATAATACCATGACAATAATAAGTACCTATCAGTTATAACCATCAATGTCAGTGGCCTCAATTCACCAATCAAGAGAAATAGACTGGCAGAATGGATTAAGAAGCAAAATCCAACAATATGTTGTATACAAGAAGCACACCTAGTGCAAAAAGAAGCCCATAGACTGAAAGTGAAAGGATGGAAAAGAATTCTCCATGTGACAGGAACCCAGAAAAAAGCAGGGGTAGCAGTCTTATTCTCAGACAAAGTAAATTTCAAACCAAAATTGATTAAGAGAGACAAAGACACTGCATCCTTGTAAAGAGGACAATTCAAGAGGAGGAGATGACAATCATAAACATATATGCACCAAGTATTAATGCCCCCAACTATATAAAACATATTAAGTAACATGAAAGACCAAATAAGCACTAATAGAATTGTAGCGGGGGAATCTAAATACCCCACTATCACAAATAGATAATCTAGGCAAAAAATCAACAATGAAATACTAGAACTGAACCAAGCTTTTGAACATAGGGACTGAGTAGACATCTGTAGAGTGTTCCACCCCACAAAATCAGAATATACATTCTTTTCGGCTGCACACGGGTCATTCTCCAAGATAGACCACATACTAGCTCGTAGAACAGGTCTGAATAAATGCAAAGGAATTTGAAGTTATCCCCTGTATATTATCAGATCAGAGTGCAATGAAGCTGGAGGTCAATAGCATTAAAAACCATAAGAACTTTACAAACATATGGAAACTGAACAACACTCTCAACAATCAGTGGGTCACAGAGGAAATTAAAGAAGAAATTAGACGTTTTTTGCAAATAAATGATAATGCCAGTACAACATACAGGAATCTTTGGGACACAATGAAAGCAGTTCTACGTGGAAATTAATAGCATTGAATGCCCACACTAGGAAAACAGAGTGAGCTCAAATAACCTAACGATGAATCTTAGACTCCTAGAAAAACAGCAAGAAAAACCCAAAGCTCGTACGAGAGAGGAAATTATAAAGATTAGAGCAGAAATCAATGCAATAGAAACTAAGAAAACAATACAAAAAATAAATGAATCAAAGAGTTGGTTTTTTTAAAGAATAAAATTGGTAAACCCTTAGCTAACCTTATCAAAAAAAGGAAAGGCTCAGATCCATGCAATTAGGAATGAAAAAGGTGAAGTAACAACAGATCCAACAAATCCAGAGGATAGTCAGTACCTACTTCGAGAACCTGTACTCCAATAAAATGGAAAACAGAAGTGGACAGATTTCTAGATACTTAGGAATTACCAATGCTGAACGAAGAAGATAAAAACATTTTAAATACCCCAATTATAATCAGTGAAATTGAAAATGTAATTAAAAGTTTACCAACGAGGAGAAGCCCAGGTCCTGATGGATTCACTGCTGAATTTTACAAGACATATAGAGAAGAACTACTGCCACTACTCTTTAAATTATTCAATGAAATTGAAAGGGAAGCAATACTTCCAAATTCATTCATGGAAGCAAGTATCACTTTGATTCCCAAACCAGGGTATGACCCAACTAAAAAAAGAGAGCTACAGGCCAGTCTCCTTAATGAATATAGATGGAAAAATCCTGAATAAGATACTACCAAACAATACAGAGGATCATCAAGAAGATCATACATCCTGACCAAGTCAGATTTATACCGGGGATGCAAGCTCAACATAAATAAGTCAAGAAATGTAATACACTATATTAACAGTGAAGGACAAAAACCATACGAAAAACCATCTCAATAGATGCAGAAAAAGCATTTGACAAAATTCAACACCCATTCATGATAAAAACCCTAAAAAAACTGGAATAGATGGTCTATATCTCAACTTAATAAAGGCTATCTATGAAAAACCAATAGCCAACATCATATTGAGTAGCCAAAAACTGAAAACCTTCACATTAAAATCAGGAGCAAGAGCTGGGCGTGGTGGCGCATGCCTGTAATCCCAGCACTCGGGAGGCTGAGGCAGGAGGATCACTGTGAGTTCGAGACCAGCCTGGGCTACATAGTGAGTTCCAGGTCAGTCTCGACTACATAGTGAGACCCTGTCTCAAAAAAACAAAAAAATCAGGAACAAGACAAGGATGACCACTATCACCACTCCTCATTGATACAGTTCTGGAAACATTAGCCACAGCAATTAGACAAGAGAAAGAAATTAGAGCAATAAAGATAGGAAAGGAAGAAGTTAAACTCATTATTTGCTGATGATATGATACTGTACATTGAAGACCCAAAAAATTCCACCAAAAGACTTTTAGATTTGACACTTTTACCAGAGTAACTGGATACAAGGTCAACACTCAAAAATCAATAGCCTTCTTGTACACAAATAACAGACTCACTGAGAGAGAAATTAGGGAAATAATTCCTTTCACAATAGCATCCAAAAAAGTGAAGTATCTAGGAATCAGTCTCATGAAAGAAACAAAAGACCTCTACACTGAAAACTACAGCACTCTGAAAAAAGATTGAAGAGGATAGAAAATGGAAAGATATCCCCTGCTCTTGGATAGGAAGAATCAACATAGTGAAAATGACCATACTACCAAAACTGCTATACAGATGCAATGTAATACCAGTTGAAATTCCAACACTGTATTTCACAGAACTAGAAAAAATAAAAAATTCACTTGGAACCAGAAGAGACCTAAAATAGCAAAAGCCATCCTAGGTAACAGAGACATGGCAGCGGGTATAACAATTACCAGTTTGAAACTATGCTACAAAGCCATTGTGACAAAAACAGCATGGTACTGGCAAAGAAACAGACCTGAGGATCAATGGAACTGGCTGGAAGATACAAAAACAACTCCAGATGTACTCAGCTACCTCATCTCTGACAAAGGAGCGGACCATCCTCACTGGAGGCAAGATAGTCTCGTTAATAAATGGTGTTGGAAAAACTGGATTTCAACCTGCCAAAGATTAAAACTAGACCCTTATCTTTCACCATGCACTAAAATAAAATCCAAGTGGATTAAAGATCTAAATATTAAAACAGAAACACCAAACTTGCTGGAAGATAGGCAGAACTCTTGAAGACATTGGCATAGGAAAAGACTTTATGAACAAATTCTCAGTAGCATGGGAACTACCAGAAAGAGTAAGCAACTGAGATCTCATCTTATTAAAAAGCTGCTCTGCAAAAGAAACCATCAACAACTAAAAGACAACCTACAATGTGGGAAAAAATTTTTACCAGCTGCTCCTCAAAAGAGCGCTTATCTAGAATATATAAAGAACTCAAAACAATCAGCCCCCCCCAGTATAAAGACCCGATTCAAAAATGGACATCTTGGGGCTGGGCATTTAGCTCAGTGGCTCCACTGCCTGCCTCCCAAGCACAAGGTCCCAAGTTCGATCCCCAGTACAAAAAGCAGGGCAGCATCTGAAATGAACAGACATTTCTCAGACAAAGAAGTAAAAGCAGCAAGTAAATATATGAAAAAATGTTCCACATCACTGGCCATTCAAGAGATGCAGATGAAAACAACACTGAGATTCCACCTCACCCCACAGAGAATGGCTGCTATCAAGAAATCAAACAGTAACAAATGTTGGCGGGGTTGTGGGGAGAAAGGAACCCTTCTGGGGCGGGAGAGATGTTGGTGGGAATGCAGAATGGTGCAACCACTACAGAAATCAATACGGAGATGCCTCAAAGAGCTGGGACTAGAGGTTCCATTTGACCCAGCCATCCCTCTGCTGGGTATCTTTCCAAAACAATTAGAAGAATCATATCAGAGATATATGCGCACCTATGTTTATAGCAGCACAGTTTGTAATACCTAAAATTTGGAAACAGCCCATATGCCCATCAGTTGGAAACTGGATAAAGAAGATGTGGTTTTTCTATAAAATGGAATACTACTCAGCCATAAAGAATGAGAAATTAGATTCATTCATAGGAAAATGGGTACATATTGAGGATATACTCCTAAGTGAAATAAATAAGTCACGCATGTAGATACTGAATAGTTTCTGTGGTGTGAATAAACCGTAATAGTACGTAAGATCCTAATGAGATAACTGACATTGTGAAATGGGAAGAAAAGGGCTAAAGGTGTAGGGAAGGTGGGACGGGTAGGGGAAAGGGAATAAGGGAAAAGAAAAAATGAGAAAATGGAAAAATGGAAAAAAAGTGTTTGTAAATGGGGAGGGGAGAAGGGGGCGAAGAGAGGGCAGGGATAAGAGGAAAAAATGAGAACCAAGACCTGTCATGCAAAGGTCCGAGATCCCAATGATGAAAGTTACTGTACTGTATGCCCAGAATGTACCAATTAACTAAAAAAAAAGCAGCAGCCTAGAATGAAAGGAGATGGGTGCGCCCTAGCTCTGCCCGCCTGACCCCGCTCCGGCGCAGTCTCCCCCGTCCCTCTCACTGCCTTCCCAGGAGAGCCCTGCAGTCCTGAGGCTGCCCCCACACCCACGTCCTTTCCGCCAGGAACAAGATCACCATGATCGCTGAGCCTCTGGAGAAGGGCCTGGCTGAGGACATCGAGAACGAGGTGGTGCAGATCACTTGGAACAGGTGAGTGTGCACTCTACCCCCAGGCCGGTCTCTGCCCCTGGGGGCAAACTGTCAGGAGCCAGCAGTGCAGAGCTGCCTGGTACCCAGCTCTCCTCCCTGCCCAGGAAGAAGCTGGGCGAGTTCTTCCAGACCAAGTACGACTGGGATCTGCTGGCCGCCCGCTCCATCTGGGCCTTTGGTCCTGACGCCACTGGCCCCAACATCTTGGTGGACGACACCCTGCCCTCAGAGGTACGCAGAGCCGGCAGGTGCCATGCGGCCCAGAATGCCCACACTAGGAAAACAGAGTGAGCTCAAATAACCTAACGATGAATCTTAGACTCCTAGAAAAACAGCAAGAAAAACCCAAAGCTCGTACGAGAGAGGAAATTATAAAGATTAGAGCAGAAATCAATGCAATAGAAACTAAGAAAACAATACAAAAAATAAATGAATCAAAGAGTTGGTTTTTTTAAAGAATAAAATTGGTAAACCCTTAGCTAACCTTATCAAAAAAAGGAAAGGCTCAGATCCATGCAATTAGGAATGAAAAAGGTGAAGTAACAACAGATCCAACAAATCCAGAGGATAGTCAGTACCTACTTCGAGAACCTGTACTCCAATAAAATGGAAAACAGAAGTGGACAGATTTCTAGATACTTAGGAATTACCAATGCTGAACGAAGAAGATAAAAACATTTTAAATACCCCAATTATAATCAGTGAAATTGAAAATGTAATTAAAAGTTTACCAACGAGGAGAAGCCCAGGTCCTGATGGATTCACTGCTGAATTTTACAAGACATATAGAGAAGAACTACTGCCACTACTCTTTAAATTATTCAATGAAATTGAAAGGGAAGCAATACTTCCAAATTCATTCATGGAAGCAAGTATCACTTTGATTCCCAAACCAGGGTATGACCCAACTAAAAAAAGAGAGCTACAGGCCAGTCTCCTTAATGAATATAGATGGAAAAATCCTGAATAAGATACTACCAAACAATACAGAGGATCATCAAGAAGATCATACATCCTGACCAAGTCAGATTTATACCGGGGATGCAAGCTCAACATAAATAAGTCAAGAAATGTAATACACTATATTAACAGTGAAGGACAAAAACCATACGAAAAACCATCTCAATAGATGCAGAAAAAGCATTTGACAAAATTCAACACCCATTCATGATAAAAACCCTGCAAAATACTGGAATAGATGGTCTATATCTCAACTTAATAAAGGCTATCTATGAAAAACCAATAGCCAACATCATATTGAGTAGCCAAAAACTGAAAACCTTCACATTAAAATCAGGAGCAAGAGCTGGGCGTGGTGGCGCATGCCTGTAATCCCAGCACTCGGGAGGCTGAGGCAGGAGGATCACTGTGAGTTCGAGACCAGCCTGGGCTACATAGTGAGTTCCAGGTCAGTCTCGACTACATAGTGAGACCCTGTCTCAAAAAAACAAAAAAATCAGGAACAAGACAAGGATGACCACTATCACCACTCCTCATTGATACAGTTCTGGAAACATTAGCCACAGCAATTAGACAAGAGAAAGAAATTAGAGCAATAAAGATAGGAAAGGAAGAAGTTAAACTCATTATTTGCTGATGATATGATACTGTACATTGAAGACCCAAAAAATTCCACCAAAAGACTTTTAGATTTGACACTTTTACCAGAGTAACTGGATACAAGGTCAACACTCAAAAATCAATAGCCTTCTTGTACACAAATAACAGACTCACTGAGAGAGAAATTAGGGAAATAATTCCTTTCACAATAGCATCCAAAAAAGTGAAGTATCTAGGAATCAGTCTCATGAAAGAAACAAAAGACCTCTACACTGAAAACTACAGCACTCTGAAAAAAGATTGAAGAGGATAGAAAATGGAAAGATATCCCCTGCTCTTGGATAGGAAGAATCAACATAGTGAAAATGACCATACTACCAAAACTGCTATACAGATGCAATGTAATACCAGTTGAAATTCCAACACTGTATTTCACAGAACTAGAAAAAATAAAAAATTCACTTGGAACCAGAAGAGACCTAAAATAGCAAAAGCCATCCTAGGTAACAGAGACATGGCAGCGGGTATAACAATTACCAGTTTGAAACTATGCTACAAAGCCATTGTGACAAAAACAGCATGGTACTGGCAAAGAAACAGACCTGAGGATCAATGGAACTGGCTGGAAGATACAAAAACAACTCCAGATGTACTCAGCTACCTCATCTCTGACAAAGGAGCGGACCATCCTCACTGGAGGCAAGATAGTCTCGTTAATAAATGGTGTTGGAAAAACTGGATTTCAACCTGCCAAAGATTAAAACTAGACCCTTATCTTTCACCATGCACTAAAATAAAATCCAAGTGGATTAAAGATCTAAATATTAAAACAGAAACACCAAACTTGCTGGAAGATAGGCAGAACTCTTGAAGACATTGGCATAGGAAAAGACTTTATGAACAAATTCTCAGTAGCATGGGAACTACCAGAAAGAGTAAGCAACTGAGATCTCATCTTATTAAAAAGCTGCTCTGCAAAAGAAACCATCAACAACTAAAAGACAACCTACAATGTGGGAAAAAATTTTTACCAGCTGCTCCTCAAAAGAGCGCTTATCTAGAATATATAAAGAACTCAAAACAATCAGCCCCCCCCAGTATAAAGACCCGATTCAAAAATGGACATCTTGGGGCTGGGCATTTAGCTCAGTGGCTCCACTGCCTGCCTCCCAAGCACAAGGTCCCAAGTTCGATCCCCAGTACAAAAAGCAGGGCAGCATCTGAAATGAACAGACATTTCTCAGACAAAGAAGTAAAAGCAGCAAGTAAATATATGAAAAAATGTTCCACATCACTGGCCATTCAAGAGATGCAGATGAAAACAACACTGAGATTCCACCTCACCCCACAGAGAATGGCTGCTATCAAGAAATCAAACAGTAACAAATGTTGGCGGGGTTGTGGGGAGAAAGGAACCCTTCTGGGGCGGGAGAGATGTTGGTGGGAATGCAGAATGGTGCAACCACTACAGAAATCAATACGGAGATGCCTCAAAGAGCTGGGACTAGAGGTTCCATTTGACCCAGCCATCCCTCTGCTGGGTATCTTTCCAAAACAATTAGAAGAATCATATCAGAGATATATGCGCACCTATGTTTATAGCAGCACAGTTTGTAATACCTAAAATTTGGAAACAGCCCATATGCCCATCAGTTGGAAACTGGATAAAGAAGATGTGGTTTTTCTATAAAATGGAATACTACTCAGCCATAAAGAATGAGAAATTAGATTCATTCATAGGAAAATGGGTACATATTGAGGATATACTCCTAAGTGAAATAAATAAGTCACGCATGTAGATACTGAATAGTTTCTGTGGTGTGAATAAACCGTAATAGTACGTAAGATCCTAATGAGATAACTGACATTGTGAAATGGGAAGAAAAGGGCTAAAGGTGTAGGGAAGGTGGGACGGGTAGGGGAAAGGGAATAAGGGAAAAGAAAAAATGAGAAAATGGAAAAATGGAAAAAAAGTGTTTGTAAATGGGGAGGGGAGAAGGGGGCGAAGAGAGGGCAGGGATAAGAGGAAAAAATGAGAACCAAGACCTGTCATGCAAAGGTCCGAGATCCCAATGATGAAAGTTACTGTACTGTATGCCCAGAATGTACCAATTAACTAAAAAAAAAGCAGCAGCCTAGAATGAAAGGAGATGGGTGCGCCCTAGCTCTGCCCGCCTGACCCCGCTCCGGCGCAGTCTCCCCCGTCCCTCTCACTGCCTTCCCAGGAGAGCCCTGCAGTCCTGAGGCTGCCCCCACACCCACGTCCTTTCCGCCAGGAACAAGATCACCATGATCGCTGAGCCTCTGGAGAAGGGCCTGGCTGAGGACATCGAGAACGAGGTGGTGCAGATCACTTGGAACAGGTGAGTGTGCACTCTACCCCCAGGCCGGTCTCTGCCCCTGGGGGCAAACTGTCAGGAGCCAGCAGTGCAGAGCTGCCTGGTACCCAGCTCTCCTCCCTGCCCAGGAAGAAGCTGGGCGAGTTCTTCCAGACCAAGTACGACTGGGATCTGCTGGCCGCCCGCTCCATCTGGGCCTTTGGTCCTGACGCCACTGGCCCCAACATCTTGGTGGACGACACCCTGCCCTCAGAGGTACGCAGAGCCGGCAGGTGCCATGCGGCCCATGCTTGCCTCCTGGGAGAAGCTGTGTGTGTCTTCCTCCTTCCGTGAAGGCTTGGCCCCAGGCTCACAGGTCCTGTTGGACTCTGAGCAGCCATCTCTCTGCAGGTGGACAAGGCCCTCCTGGGCTCCGTGAAGGACAGCATCGTGCAGGGCTTCCAGTGGGGGACCAGAGAGGGGCCCCTCTGTGACGAGCGTAAGTCCCACTCCAGACGCTGGCTGGTACACAGGACCACCCGAGTCCCAAGCCAGCCTGTCCCTCTCCCTCTGTCCCAGGCCACCATTTGGTATATCCTGGAAACGGAGTCCTTTCTAGACTAGCACTTGGCCCTGTTCTTACAAGGGTCTGTGCTGGGTGTGTATGAGGAGCACTGTCCATAGGATGTGGAGCCAGGAGTGGTGGCACATGCTGGTACCTCAGCACTCCAGGAGGCTGAGGCAGAAAGAGCACAGGGTCAAGCCCAGCCTGGGCAACTTGGTAACTTGGTACGCTCTAAGAGAAATGTAAAAATAGTGCTGCGGATGTCACTCAAGGAGAAGGCCCTGGGTTCAACCCCTACTACTACAAATAGACCCAAATGGGACTTTGTGGGACCAAATGTGCAGTTCTCCAAGCCAACACCAGGAAGAGCGCATAGCTCTCCGAGCCTGGAGCAGGCTCTGCCTCAGGCCTCGGTGCTGGGCAGTGTCTGTGGCCCTGAGACCCTCTGCCCTGCTGCCCTGGCCCTCAGCAGTGGTCCTGTCTTCTCCCAGTGATTCGCAACGTCAAGTTTAAGATCCTGGATGCGGTGGTGGCCCAGGAGCCCCTGCACCGGGGCGGGGGCCAGATTATCCCCACAGCCCGCAGGGTGGTCTACTCCGCCTTCCTCATGGCCACGCCCCGCCTGATGGAGCCCTACTACTTCGTGGAGGTCCAGGCGCCTGCGGACTGTGTGTCTGCTGTGTACACCGTCCTAGCCCGGCGCAGGTGAGCATCGTGGTGCTTGGAGAGCAGCCGGGGTGGAGGGGAGGAGCAGGTCCTGGCTACACCAGGGCTGAGGGCTCCCCAGGCCTGAGCAAGGTGCCGGTGTGGTGTTGACAGGACAGTACAGCATCTTCTGCCCAGAGGGGCTGCCTGGCACTCCCCACCCCTGGAGCCCTCACCTGGCCGCTCTCTTGTCTGCATTCTCTTGTCCCACTCTTGCTGGTGACTTGGTAACAGCAGAACCCAGGCAGCACCACATTAGGAGCTCAAGCCTCGGCAGGGCCAAAACTGGGAACCAAACCCAGGGCCTTCGCGGAGTCACACCCTCAGCCCTTTTTTTTTTATTTTGACATAGTATTTTGTTAAATTCCCTGCGTTGGGCTCCAGCTCTGCATCTTCCTGCCTCAGCCTCGCAGAGCACTGGGATCGCAGGTGTGCACCACTGTGTGCAGCCTGGGACCTGCCCTTTTCTTTGTGTGTCAGGGGGCACGTGACTCAGGACGCACCCATTCCCGGCTCCCCTCTCTACACCATCAAAGCCTTCATCCCGGCCATCGACTCCTTCGGCTTTGAGACTGACCTCCGTACTCACACGCAGGGCCAGGCCTTCTCCCTGTCTGTCTTCCACCACTGGCAGGTGAGCTGCTGCTCTGGGTGTCCTGGGGAGGAGTCGCTCTGAGGCCTGGGGAGTTCCCCGCACCACTGAGGCCCGGTGCCTTCCAGATTGTACCTGGCGACCCCCTGGACAAGAGCATCGTCATCCGGCCCTTGGAGCCACAGCCGGCCCCACATCTGGCCCGTGAATTCATGATCAAAACCCGGCGCAGGAAGGTATGTGTCCCCCAGGCCCTGGCCCCCTGCCCCGCCTCCCAGGCTCTTCCCTTGTCACAAACTGAGCGTGCATCGTGCACCATGTGAAGCGGTGTGGTCCACGTCCCTGCCTACCCTGCCCTCTACAGGGCCTGAGTGAGGACGTGAGTATCAGCAAGTTCTTCGATGACCCCATGCTGCTGGAGCTGGCCAAGCAGGACGTGGTGCTCAACTATCCGATGTGAGCCTCAGAGCCAGCGAGGAGCAGGCGAAGGCCCCTGCGCCTCCCCCTGGACCCGAACTGGCTCCTCCCCAGGACTCGCTGACTTCTCACCCCTGCTTTACTGTAGCCCTGGTTTGGAAATGAAGAGAACATTGTGACCTTTGCCCTCCCTGCAGCCTTTCTCTGGTGAGGTCTGGGTAGATGCTTGTGGTCTCCCACGATGCCACTGCCGCTCCCAGCTGCGGCCTCTTCCGGTCAGGTCCCCAGGGGGCAGCCAGCGGGAGGGGCCTTGCCCTCACCGAGGCTCCCACAGCCTTGCCGTGTCCCGTTGTCCCCTCTCTGCCCTCCACCCACAGACGACACCTGGCTTTCGGGCACTACTTTATTCGGCATCCACGGGACCCTGCAGCCAGGCTACAGCCCCTACTTTCCCCTGGTATCCTGCACCGTCCTCTTGCTGTAGTCTCTGTACATGGAGTACACAGCGCCTGCAGGGCACAGGGAGAGTGCTGTTGGCACCGATCCCTGTTCTCATGCTCTGCGGTCCCAGGGGTCCCCGCGCTTCTGTCCCTTAGAGAATCCCACTTTCCACTCCTCTTCCGCCCCTGCCCACAGCTGCTCCCAGCAACCAGCCATGCAGCCAGTGACCATCTGACAGGTCACGGGGCATAGTGTTCTCAGGGAAGCTTTGGCAGCCTGTGGAGTGGCCAGGCTGCAGGTGGCTCTTGTCATTTACTTGGGGAAACTGAGGCAGTGAGTGGGATTAGTCCACAGCCAGCAAGTACCGGTCTGCTGGTTTTTTGTTTTTTTTTTTCTTTCCTAAGACAAGGCTGGAGCTAACTCCTAACCCTCCTGCCTCAGCGTCTTGAGGCTGCCACTCTCAGATCCAAAGAGGACAAGAAATCAGCACATATCCTGCTGCATGATGTTCTCACCTCCTGGTGGGCAGGTTGTCATGAGACGGCTGTATAGTGTCCGGGAAACAGGGACAGGAGTCACAGGGAGCCCTGAGTAGTCTCGGGTCCCATGTGGCCCTGGGTCATGGTCTGCTGTGCCCTAGCCAGTGCTTACCTAGCATAATGGCACCCACGGCACAGGCCTGCGCAGCCACGCGAGTGTGGATCAGGTGTATGGACAGTTTGGTAGAGCCGCGAGCCTTGAGCTGGTAGATCCTGCATGTGGCCACCCCCAGGCAGCCCGCCAGGCCTATGGACAGAGAGTGACAGCCTGGGCTCCACGCCAGGGTCCTGAGGGGAGCTGGGGTCACTGGGCTGTGCCCCCCACAGAGTTGTCACAGCTCTGGTCTCTGCATATCCTGTCAGTGTGCAGAGCACGGTGATGCCTGCACCCCACAGCCCTGCTCACTTTCGGTCCTGAGGCTGGTGTTGGTGCTCTGTGCCTGGTTCGCTGCCACCTCTCTCATGTGATCCTGCCGGTCTACTGTGAGGTGGGGCCACCTGATCTCTGGCCTCTGATGCCAGACACTGCCCAGAGAAGTCCCATCTCACCCTGTCCTACCCACTCACCTATAGGCACCAGTGGTGACTCCCTGCTCTTCCTGAGCAGCTTCTCAGACACACTTTCGGCACCCTCGGGTGGTGCCCACTCGCCTTTGTCAGCAGTCATCCTGGGCGCCAGTGTGACTCCTGCCTTGTCCTGGACAGCAGAGTCAGAACTCGGCCACCACTGGGCCTCACCACGCCCGGCACAGCTCTCCCGGAAAGGTGTCCCAGCGGTGCCTGGCCTGCCCTTCCCCCACCACATCCCATGGGCACGACCCCGAGGCTGAGGTGGATAACTGAGAAGTGCACGGATGGACAGTCCTTGTGTCTAGGGCCCCCACTGTCTTGGTGTGCGACAGTCACTCCTGGGACACCACGGGGCAGACGCTCATGATGGGCGTGGGTCTGTGTGAGACAGCCTGCATCCTGCACCTTGGCCCCGAGGGATAGATCCTGGTCCCGGAGCTCCCAACCTGCGGCCTCTGCCTCCGGGCTGCATGCCCTCATAACACCGGATTAGGGCAGAGTCCTGCTGAGCAGGCACCCTCGTTGCCAGCTTCCTCTCATCCCTTTCTCCTGGTGGAGCTGTGGCAGTGGCCCAGGGTCCCCCAGAGGGTCCCCAGCCTATGGCACTTACCTTGGTGCTGGGCAGGAAGTGGAGCACAGGCAGCCAGGCCAGCTCAGCAGTGCCGTCCAGAGCAGCCGCTGTGGGGTCCGGGAGCAGTGACTGGGCTTTATGGAGTCTTTGAAGTCAGACAAGCGGGGAGGAGAGGGGAGGACGGGGTGTTCTTCACTCCCGTCTGCTGGGCTCCAGCGGGGATGCAGCATGGGGCCGGGGGGCGGGGCAGGCTGCCCTTAACTGCTGCCCTCCATTCCCGCAGTCATCGTGGCTGCTGGGACCTGCCTGGTGTGGACAGCTGAGAGCCAGGTGGGCTGGGCAGACACCCAGGCTACCCAGCTGCAAGAGCCCTGTATTTTGTTTGTTTTTGGCGGAGGGGTTGAGACAGGGTCTCTCTATGTAGTTATGACTGACCTGGAATTCACTATGTAGTCCAGGCTAGTCTTGAACTCACAGCTCTCCTCCTGCCTCAGCCTCCCGAGTGCTGGGATTACAGGCGTGTGCCACCACACCCGGTGCGGGCCCTGTATTTTGTCTTGGTTCTGTGGTATAGAGGTTCATCCAGGCCCATGTGTGTCTGGGTCTTGATCCTTTCAAGAATGCATCTGGAGCCGGTGAGACCCCACTCCCATGTGAGCCCTTCACACTGCCTCCAAGCCTACTCAAGACTTGGGGCGAGGACAACCAGCATTGTTGGCGCCGTCCCTTATGAGGTCTGGGCTCAGCCTCAAAGGAGCTGGTGACTTTCTAGGTTGCATGGCTGGCAAATGCAGGTGTAGGACTGGCACCAGGTCTGGCTGCCCTGGGTTTGCCCTCCTGACCGCTAGCGGCTTAGGGCCAAGACTGACCATATCCACCTGGACTGCCCGGGGAAAGAGCACCTACTGAGCACGTGGGGCGCAGGCATGGCAAGGGCCTCACCTTCCAGGCCTCCTCTTCCTGTGTGATTCAGCCGGTGGCCTGGAACTCTGTCCAGCAGCTGGTGTCTCCTCCCTCCTGCCTCAGCTCTGACTGACCAGGGTCACAGTGCCCATGGGAAAGGTCCTGCCCGCCCTCCCACAAGCCTGGTACCACTCTCCAGCTCCGTACGTGTCCACTGCCCCTGCGGTGGCTGTGTGCCCTGCGCACCTGTCTCTGGGTGAGATGGGTGGGGTTAGGAGTGGACCTGCCGCGGTAATGTCCACCCACCCACTGGCCCAACGCCTGTCCAAGATGGTAGTGCTAGGAATAGTGATTTACTGGGCATCTTCAGGGCGGGCAGAGAGCAGCCTGCTGTGTGTGTGGTTTTTCACCTGTCTCTCAGGTGCTGGCGATGGAACCCTGGGCCTTGCGTGCCATGCTTCGGCACCAGCTGCCCCGCCGGCCCTCACCAGAGCACCAGAGTGGGGCTGCATCCCTCAGGCTCCACTAGGGTCTTGTTCAGGGTCACAGTGGGTGACAGAGAAAGGACCGGAATTCCAGCCCCCACCTTAGCGGAATGCAAAGTGGGGTCGAGTCTTGAAATGGAAAAAGTGAAGTTTTTTTTATTTTTATTATCATTATTATTATTTCAAAAATTCGTGCCAGGTGTGGGGCGCACGCCTGTAATCCCAGCACTTGGAAGGCTGAGGCAGGAGGATTGTTGTGAGTCCGAGACCAGCCTGGGCTACATAGTTCCAGATCCGTTTCAACTACATAATGAGACCCTGTCTTGACCTATAAAAAAAAAAAAAAAAAAAAAAAAATTTCTTTTTGTGAACACTACCCACAACTTTAGGGACAAATTTCTAGAGAGCCTTGTTTTAGTAAACAGATAAAATTATAGCATCATTCTTGTTAACATGCCAAGTCCTTAATTGTTTCCATTTAAACATTTCTGCATTAGTAATTTGCTTGGTAAACCTTTTCCTTCCAGGTCAGGTCACATTCACAGAAACTCAGATTTAGAGGGGTCAGGCTGAGCCTTGCAGAGGTTTAGTGTCCTGGCCCGAGTCAGGCGTGAGAACCATCAGTCTAGACTGCTCCTAGGACTGGGGAGGTCAGGCCCACTGATACCTGCACCCTGGAGGCTGTGCAAGGAAGACTGGGTTCAAGGCCAGCCTGTCTTAAGAACCACTTACTTAGGACACTGGCTCTCTTAAGTCTATGTCCTTGCCTGTTAGGTGGAGGTAGCATTTACCTGTACCTGTAGGGTTAAAGAAGGAAGCGGCTGACTGGACGTCCCCGCTGGACTGGATGAACCCCGAGCTCCTCCCACCCTGCCTAGACTTGGGTTGGTGGCGCAGCGCGTGGGCGAGGGGCCGGCCGGCCCTGGACAGAGCAGCTACACTATATTTAGCCCTGGGAGCTGGGCAAGCCGGCGAGGGAGGGGCAAGGGCCAGCTCCTGCCCAGGCTGGAGAGCCTGGAGCACAGGGTGACAAGGGTGAAGTGGTCGGGACGAGATTCAGAGGATGCTCCGGACCTGGAGGGGCGGTGACTGCTGGAGGCACGAGTAGGGGCCGGGACCAGACCGGCAGGGTGAGTTTCATGTAGACTTGGCTTGCTGGAGGCTGCATCTGGGAAGGGCTGAGGTTGTGAGGTGTTCATTTTAAAACAGCTGGCAGCAGGGGGTTTAGCTCAGTGGTTTCCCTGCCTGCCTTGCAAGTACAAGGACCCAATTTGATCCCTGGTACAAAAAAAAAAAGCACAGGGTATGCCTGTAATCCTACCATTCTGGGAAGCTGAGGCAGGAGGATCACAGGTTTGAGCCCAGCCTGGGCAATTTAAGGCAAACTCAGATAAAAAGGGCCAGGGATGTAGCTCAGTGGTAGAGCGCCCCGGGTTCAATCCCCAGTACCACAGGCTGCGTGCACACGGTCCGGTTCTGTGATCCAAGCAGAAGACCAGCAGGAGGTGACAAGTGCGTGCTTCAGGTAGAAGTGTTTCGCTAAGGCCCTCGTGGGTGCTCCGATTCCCAGATTACCCAGGGTCTTCTAGAACATGTCCAGGAAGGACTGAGCCTTCTGGGCTGGTCCTCGGCACATTCTGTGTAACCCTCGCAGCTGCTCCAGTTGGGAGGTCTTTATCCCATTCCGAAGGGCAGAAAACAAACATCCCCCAGCCAGTGGATGTTGGGGCCACCCTGCAGATGACCACAATACTGTGGAAAATCAGCAGCAACTCCCAAGCATCCTGTCCTTACCCCATCCCCAAAATGGGTAAGTGAGAGTGCAGCACTGGCCTGGTGTGTGCCAGGCTTGGCTCCACCTCGCATCCAGGGGTGCGGACAGCTGGGCACAGTGACTGGCACCAGGGCTTCCAGACACCAGAGACCACAGAGCACCCCTCTCTAGGCCAGTGCCCCATGTTCTGGCCTCGTCCCCAAGTCCATGCTTGAGGGGGCACTGGAGCAGGCGCCCCATCCCTCCCCTGCCTTTGGACCCTGCACACCCAACACCTGCCTTGCACCTCCCCCAGAAGTTGACCTAGACTTAAAATCCAGCATTAATACACAAGGAGCCGCTCACAGCCCTGGAGTCACAACGGCTCCACCTAGACTACTTGTTTTACTTATTTAAAAAACTATTTTTTTTACAACTAAAAGATCTGCCTCAGCCAACACCCCTGCAGGCAATGCCAGGGAGAAACAGCGTCCTGTGCACAGGATAACAGATTCCCAAGGTCCTGAAGAGGGTGAGGCTTGGAAGCAGCTCTCCTGCCTGCCCGGATCCTGGGAAGCACTCCTAGGCCCTACCTCCAGGCCTCGGGGACTGAGAGAGGAATCTACTCTGCCTCTCCAGCCAGGCGGGGACCCGGGAAGTGTGTAATGGAAACAGTGACACACTGCAGCCTCCGAGCTGACCCCGCCGCCGTTCCCAAACCACAGGGCCCCACTGTGCCTCTAGATTTCTCCAATGGTTGATCCTTTCCTGCCTGGCCCCGTGTGAATAAAAAGCCATGTGGTTCTCACAGCCCTAGGCTCTGCCCCTCTGCTGGGACTGGAGACAAGACCTGTCCCTCCCTCCAGAGCCCTCCCATGTGCTTGGCATGACTCCAGGGTGGCCCCCAATGCCACTGCCTTCAGGGAGCCTGAATCCCTGTGGTACCCACTTGGCTCTGAGTCTTGGGGTGCCTAGGGTCCAGTGCCTCCAGCCTGGGACGAAAGGGCCTTACCAGCTAGCAAAATGGGAGAGGAGAGAGTCCCAGCTGGGGGACAGGAGACTTCAGTTATGTGTCGATTTTTTTTTTTTTTTTGGTACCGGGGATCAAACTTGGTACCTTGCACTTTTGAGGCAGTCTGGCACCGCTGAGCTAAATCCCCAGCCCTATGTGTACAACTTTAAACTAGGGGTAAAGTAACCTGATTTCCTTGAGTCTTACTTCTGCCTTTTCAAAATCTTTTTGTGGTTCTGGGTATCAAACCCAGGTCCCTGCACGGTAGGCAAGTGCTCTACCCTTGGCCTTTTTAAAAATGTTTACAGTGACAGTGTCTTTTTTTTTTTTTCTACAGTCAGTGTTTTGCTAAATTGCCTAGGTTGGCCTGAAACTTTCCCAAGCAGCTGGAATTACAGGTATATAGCACCACATCCGGCTGACTTTACTGTCTCTCTGTTCCCCCCTTTTTACGGTACTGGAGACTGAACTCAGAGTCTTGATATGCTAGGCAAGGGCTCTACCATGGAGCTATGTCTCCAACACTTTTATCATCTTCAGTTTGCTCTATTAGAAAGTTGACAGTGCTGCAGGCTTGCTAGTACGGCAACAGAGATAAAAGTGCATTGTTCTCGGCCTGCAGAAGAAATGGTGATGACAGAAGATGGAGATCCTTTCCGGGAGGCTGGGTGAGGTGCCACAACCTGTAATCCCAGCACTCTGCGAGGCTGAGGCTGGAGGATTCAAAGTTCAAGCCCAACCTGGGTGACTTAGTGAGACCCTGACTCAAAATTAAAAATTTTTTGAAGGGCTGGGGAGATAGTTGAGTGCAAGGACCTTGAGTTCAATCCCTAGTGCTGCCAAAAGAAGAAGTCTTTCCTGGCAGGTTCATTTATGAATTTATAGGAAGATAGTACCTAATGAACATTTGATTATATACATACATATATATATATATATAGTTATGCACATTATTTTTCACATATTATATAATTGAATGTTTTAATGCCATTTCTAGGTTGTTTGATA